AGCTGGACGTTGACCGAGGACGAAGCGGCCGACGAAGTGGACTTTTACCCGCGCCACAAGCCGTCACCGGACGTGGTCGCCCAGATCGATCTCCTGTCGACGCTGCAGCGCGACATCGACAGCCACTGGAGCCTCCACACGGGCAGCTGGTACTTTGACGGCAAAGCGTATCAAAAGTACGCGTCGCTCTGCTTGATGGCCGCCGACAGCGCCGTCGTGGGCGAAGACACGGCGTTGCTGAGCACTTGTCTCGCCAAGCTCGAGAAACTGCTCGAGCCGTTCTTGGACAACAAACTCGGCTCGCCGCTTGTCTACGAGACGGCGTACAAGGGCATCGTCACCAGTCAGGTCTTCACGGCCCGCGACGTCAACGTCGAGTTCGGCAACGGCATCTACAACGACCACCACTACCATTACGGCTACTGGGTCACGGCGTCGGCCATCCTGAAGAAGCTGGACCCGTCCTGGTCGGGCATGGCGCGACTCGAGACGATGGTCTGGACGATGCTGCGCGACGTGGCCAACCCGAGCGAAGACGACGCGTACTTCCCGACGTTCCGCCACTTTTCGTGGTTCCGCGGCCACTCGTACTCGCACGGCGTGACCCCCATGGCCGACGGCAAAGACGAGGAGAGCACCTCGGAGGACGTCAACTTCAGCTACGGCATGATGCTCTGGGGCAAAGTGACGGCGAACAAGGCCGTGGAAGACTTGGGCAGTCTCATGCTGCGCCTGAACGCGCGCGCCGTGCGCACGTACTTCCTCATGACGTCGGACAATACGATCCACCCGCCGCAGTTCGTGCCCAACCACGTCACGGGCATCTTCTTCGACAACAAGGCGGACTACGCGACGTGGTTCAGCGCCGAGAAGTACTGTATCCACGGCATCCAGATGATCCCCGTGTCGCCCATCAACGGTCTCGTGCGGACGAAGGCGTTTGTCCAGGAGGAATGGGACGACGTGCTGTCCAAGGAGGCCATCGTCACGAGCGGCGACACGTCCAACGCCTGGCTGTCCCTCCTGCTCGTGAACGAGGCGGTCATCGACCAAGCCGACGCACTAGCAAAGCTCGCAACTGTTGCGATGGACGACGGGCTCTCTCGCTCGTGGGCTCTGTACAATGCAGCCTCGCGCGGTGGACCGAGCGCGAGCGATAGCACCAGCACAGTCGCCACCATTGAGGCATCTGGGTCCAGCTCGGCCGACGCGATGGACGCGTCCGTGGCAGCCACCGCGACCCCGACCGTCGATCAGGAAGATGCTGAAGGTGCTAAGATCGTCACGGCCGCCGCACCAACGCCCGCACCTGAGATACCATCAACGCCTGCGACTCCGACGGTGGAGACGAACGTTCCGGACGCCACGTCTCTGTCAACGCCTGCAACTCCGACCGTCTCGTCGTGCAAGCGGAGTGGCAAGCGGAAGACCGCACCTGCGACTGCCACTCCGTCCTCCTGAGAGGGCATAGTGCACCACTTGCAACCTCATCCTTCTCGAGTCGTCGACGCTGTCGACTCTGTACCAACGAACCCCTCGCTGCCAGACATTGGCAGCTTCCTGCACGTCCAGCGACACCCGCGCAGAGAACTGCGCTTGATCTTGAACACGCGGAGACGCCTCAACTATCCACACACAAATACATGTATATTGAACCGCCACTGTCGGCGTTCATCATGGTCGAAGCTGTCCTCAGAGGTCCATTCCGCTCACTAACCACCGTCACGTTTTCGCAGCGCGTCAGCCAAACAGGTGCAGGAGCTGCACCCACTCACCTGGGAACTCATATCATGGTGTACCCGCGGCGGCGTGCAGTATAGACCTTGACAGCCGTGACTGCTAGCCCCATCATCACGACAATACCGATCGCAGTCAGCACGGCAGAGCCTGTGAAGCCGTGACCGCTCTTGACAGCAGGCTCCTGAGCGAGTGTTGGCTTGCCTGGACGCACGGCCGGCTCTTGATAGTTGCAAATGCTCTCCCACGTACCGGTCTTGGCGATGTGGCTTGCAATGATGTCTTTGAACTCTTGCAACGGACAGTCTGCAACGGAGCATTTCGTGAGCTTGACTTGCTCGCGCTTAGTGTACGGCGACCACATGTACGACCGCACGAAATAGGTCTCGTTCGCCTCCGGCTGCTGTTGCGTCTCTTTGGCGGTGGGTTGACGTGCGCGCAGCTCAAAGAACATGGACGTTCCTGGATGGAGAGCCGTCACATTGAGAGCTCGGGGCAGTCCCTCGAAGTGGAACTCCCAGCCCAGCATCATGCCCAGACCGTGCAGTAGTTCACGATGGCCATGGTACGAAAAGTAACGGTATGCCGACTTCGATGGTGCCGTCGGCACAGCTCCACCTTCCAGTGTGTTGAGCAGCAACTCGGCAAACCCACCCACCCAGTACGTGACTTTGCGGTCCGTCGAGTAGTACCGCTCCATGAGGTTCGTGAAGGCCAGTTGCTCCAGTTTCGCGCGTGCTTCGACCGTCATTCCTTCCGTAAGCGGCAGCCCCTCGTCGCGATCGAAGGCAAACATGTCGACCAGGTCCTTGACGCCCAGCACAACGTCTTCGCCGCCCGGTACATTGGGAATGTCCTCAACTGCCACCCCACACACTCGGCCCAGCTGCTGAAGCACGTCACGGTACTGGTCAAAGAGCTCCGGAGCTCGCGTTCGAGCATACACTGCCAGGTCCGCCTCTTGTGTGGCCTTGCACGGTCCCTTTGGAGCCGCAAACGCGTGTTCGTTCTCCACCAGTTGCATCGTAACGGGCACAGGTTGACGCGGGAAGCCGAGCGGACCTGTGCCGTCTGGATAGAGGCCGTAGCCCAGTGCCGTCGCACTTTGCGAGCAGCGCGTGGCCGCGTCGGCTCGAAAGTACGTCTCAAAGTGCGCGTGGTGCACGCCATTGAGTGAGCGCGACAGGAACGCCTCGTGGTGCAGTGGCTCGTCGGCCATGTACGTGTGGCGAATGTGCTCGCCCGCGGCCTGCAACTGCTTCATGCCGACCTCCGTGAGCTGCGTGAGCGGCACCTCGTAGGCCTCGAGATTGGCCCTGTTGCGTGGACACGTGGCCTGGACGACGTCGTTGGGCGCGCGGCTGCCGTGGCGAGAGAGCGTCACGAGGCGGCGGAGAGTGCTGCAGCAGTAGCAGAGACAGCAGCAGCCAATGGATCAGCGCAACAGGTTGTACGGCAGTAGCAGCAGCAGCAGTAGCAGAGGTATGTTAGTGGTGAAAGTGGTGTGGTGATGTGGCAGTAGTGGGAGTGGGGGTGGGGTACCCAGCGCAACAGCATCGAATGACTCGCTCCACGTGCGTACCTCGACGTCGACTCGTCAGCTGAGACGGCTGTGGCCGAGAGCACTGCGAGGGCGGCGGCGGCGGACGTGAGACGGAGGACGCGCATTGCGTGGGCAGACGGTTGAGACCTATAGCGACACACGGAAAGGGGCGACGGGGTGAGGGGCTGAGGCGGAAGGGTCGGGCCCAGCGGTCGTCGAGGAGCTGTTGGCTGCGGATTCGATTGTGAGTCGCTCGTTCGTTCAGCGGCGGAAAGGATTTCGAGGATCGGGAGGTCAGATCGGGATCTCGTAGCGCGCTGCACTTGCCTTTGAGCAAAAAGGTGGGCACAAAAAGGCATAAGTGTGCGAGATGGGATTGCAAAAGTGGCTACTGCAGCGAGTGTCACATTTACAAAAGGAGAGAGAGGTCCCGCAGGATGAGGAAGGAGGAAATGCACCACTGATGTAAGGTATTCGACCGATACACACGCGCAAAGGATCCTTCAACATAATATTCTATTTGTCGTAGATATTCATACAAAAGTCGCAGCAAATGAAATACCTGAGCCCATAGCGGATCGGCGGTGTCGGGTGATTACGTAAATTTAGTCTTCCAATAGTCTAAGGTCAGTCATTTGTTGACATGTTGGGGCCTTTTAACAGGATACGGTAAGTCGCCGGCGTGAGCGTCATTGTGTTGTGTGAACACAGGTAGGGGCAACAAGGTAAGCAAATTTGTCGCCACTGCTGGTATCGTTATCGATCCTTTCTGTTCAGCCCCCTAATTCTTTGCAAATACCCGCGTCGTGTATGATCGCACGCTTTGTATGCAACTGTGTGTCGCATTGCGCTGTCAGTCAACAGCAGCTGGATGCTTAGCTACTAATGTTTTTGGTGTGCTTGTTGTCATACAATAGTTTTGATATAGCATTTGCTCGTCAATTATAACTGCATGACGGATCATACCGTATTCTTCTCCGATAGCACTCATAATTTATCCAATCTAAAGTCGATTTCGGGAAAGCCGCACACAATGTATAGCACCACGTTGACACGGCGCTCCCTCTTATCCATCGAAAATCATCGACATTGTTAAGAGGGTGCTACACGATATACACAGTCGGACCTAACAAAGGTGACGAAAGAGACTGGAATGTACATGGGCCCTGGCGAAAGACAAATATATTTATTGAATGGCTACGCCAACTACGCACAATATCCCACTCGCAAAATGGCTGTTGAGACAAGAATTCGTTCAGGTTTCGAATACACCGACCGAGAAAGGAAGTGAAAACGGCATCAATTGCAAGTGAACAAACGATCCCAGCTATGTGCGTATTCGGTCGTTTACTCTACACAACTGGTGTATTCTCTCTACTCATACCAATCGTTGATTCATCTTTGTTTATCTCGTGGCGCTTGTTCTCTTTTCCTAAATGTGACACTCGCTGCAGTAGCCACTTTTGCAATCCCATCTCGCACACTTATGCCTTTTTGTGCCCACCTTTTTGCTCAAAGGCAAGTGCAGCGCGCTACGAGATCCCGATCTGACCTCCCGATCCTCGAAATCCTTTCCGCCGCTGAACGAACGAGCGACTCACAATCGAATCCGCAGCCAACAGCTCCTCGACGACCGCTGGGCCCGACCCTTCCGCCTCAGCCCCTCACCCCGTCGCCCCTTTCCGTGTGTCGCTATAGGTCTCAACCGTCTGCCCACGCAATGCGCGTCCTCCGTCTCACGTCCGCCGCCGCCGCCCTCGCAGTGCTCTCGGCCACAGCCGTCTCAGCTGACGAGTCGACGTCGAGGTACGCACGTGGAGCGAGTCATTCGATGCTGTTGCGCTGGGTACCCCACCCCCACTCCCACTACTGCCACATCACCACACCACTTTCACCACTAACATACCTCTGCTACTGCTGCTGCTGCTACTGCCGTACAACCTGTTGCGCTGATCCATTGGCTGCTGCTGTCTCTGCTACTGCTGCAGCACTCTCCGCCGCCTCGTGACGCTCTCTCGCCACGGCAGCCGCGCGCCCAACGACGTCGTCCAGGCCACGTGTCCACGCAACAGGGCCAATCTCGAGGCCTACGAGGTGCCGCTCACGCAGCTCACGGAGGTCGGCATGAAGCAGTTGCAGGCCGCGGGCGAGCACATTCGCCACACGTACATGGCCGACGAGCCACTGCACCACGAGGCGTTCCTGTCGCGCTCACTCAATGGCGTGCACCACGCGCACTTTGAGACGTACTTTCGAGCCGACGCGGCCACGCGCTGCTCGCAAAGTGCGACGGCACTGGGCTACGGCCTCTATCCAGACGGCACAGGTCCGCTCGGCTTCCCGCGTCAACCTGTGCCCGTTACGATGCAACTGGTGGAGAACGAACACGCGTTTGCGGCTCCAAAGGGACCGTGCAAGGCCACACAAGAGGCGGACCTGGCAGTGTATGCTCGAACGCGAGCTCCGGAGCTCTTTGACCAGTACCGTGACGTGCTTCAGCAGCTGGGCCGAGTGTGTGGGGTGGCAGTTGAGGACATTCCCAATGTACCGGGCGGCGAAGACGTTGTGCTGGGCGTCAAGGACCTGGTCGACATGTTTGCCTTCGATCGCGACGAGGGGCTGCCGCTTACGGAAGGAATGACGGTCGAAGCACGCGCGAAACTGGAGCAACTGGCCTTCACGAACCTCATGGAGCGGTACTACTCGACGGACCGCAAAGTCACGTACTGGGTGGGTGGGTTTGCCGAGTTGCTGCTCAACACACTGGAAGGTGGAGCTGTGCCGACGGCACCATCGAAGTCGGCATACCGTTACTTTTCGTACCATGGCCATCGTGAACTACTGCACGGTCTGGGCATGATGCTGGGCTGGGAGTTCCACTTCGAGGGACTGCCCCGAGCTCTCAATGTGACGGCTCTCCATCCAGGAACGTCCATGTTCTTTGAGCTGCGCGCACGTCAACCCACCGCCAAAGAGACGCAACAGCAGCCGGAGGCGAACGAGACCTATTTCGTGCGGTCGTACATGTGGTCGCCGTACACTAAGCGCGAGCAAGTCAAGCTCACGAAATGCTCCGTTGCAGACTGTCCGTTGCAAGAGTTCAAAGACATCATTGCAAGCCACATCGCCAAGACCGGTACGTGGGAGAGCATTTGCAACTATCAAGAGCCGGCCGTGCGTCCAGGCAAGCCAACACTCGCTCAGGAGCCTGCTGTCAAGAGCGGTCACGGCTTCACAGGCTCTGCCGTGCTGACTGCGATCGGTATTGTCGTGATGATGGGGCTAGCAGTCACGGCTGTCAAGGTCTATACTGCACGCCGCCGCGGGTACACCATGATATGAGTTCCCAGGTGAGTGGGTGCAGCTCCTGCACCTGTTTGGCTGACGCGCTGCGAAAACGTGACGGTGGTTAGTGAGCGGAATGGACCTCTGAGGACAGCTTCGACCATGATGAACGCCGACAGTGGCGGTTCAATATACATGTATTTGTGTGTGGATAGTTGAGGCGTCTCCGCGTGTTCAAGATCAAGCGCAGTTCTCTGCGCGGGTGTCGCTGGACGTGCAGGAAGCTGCCAATGTCTGGCAGCGAGGGGTTCGTTGGTACAGAGTCGACAGCGTCGACGACTCGAGAAGGATGAGGTTGCAAGTGGTGCACTATGCCCTCTCAGGAGGACGGAGTGGCAGTCGCAGGTGCGGTCTTCCGCTTGCCACTCCGCTTGCACGACGAGACGGTCGGAGTTGCAGGCGTTGACAGAGACGTGGCGTCCGGAACGTTCGTCTCCACCGTCGGAGTCGCAGGCGTTGATGGTATCTCAGGTGCGGGCGTTGGTGCGGCGGCCGTGACGATCTTAGCACCTTCAGCATCTTCCTGATCGACGGTCGGGGTCGCGGTGGCTGCCACGGACGCGTCCATCGCGTCGGCCGAGCTGGACCCAGATGCCTCAATGGTGGCGACTGTGCTGGTGCTATCGCTCGCGCTCGGTCCACCGCGCGAGGCTGCATTGTACAGAGCCCACGAGCGAGAGAGCCCGTCGTCCATCGCAACAGTTGCGAGCTTTGCTAGTGCGTCGGCTTGGTCGATGACCGCCTCGTTCACGAGCAGGAGGGACAGCCAGGCGTTGGACGTGTCGCCGCTCGTGACGATGGCCTCCTTGGACAGCACGTCGTCCCATTCCTCCTGGACAAACGCCTTCGTCCGCACGAGACCGTTGATGGGCGACACGGGGATCATCTGGATGCCGTGGATACAGTACTTCTCGGCGCTGAACCACGTCGCGTAGTCCGCCTTGTTGTCGAAGAAGATGCCCGTGACGTGGTTGGGCACGAACTGCGGCGGGTGGATCGTATTGTCCGACGTCATGAGGAAGTACGTGCGCACGGCGCGCGCGTTCAGGCGCAGCATGAGACTGCCCAAGTCTTCCACGGCCTTGTTCGCCGTCACTTTGCCCCAGAGCATCATGCCGTAGCTGAAGTTGACGTCCTCCGAGGTGCTCTCCTCGTCTTTGCCGTCGGCCATGGGGGTCACGCCGTGCGAGTACGAGTGGCCGCGGAACCACGAAAAGTGGCGGAACGTCGGGAAGTACGCGTCGTCTTCGCTCGGGTTGGCCACGTCGCGCAGCATCGTCCAGACCATCGTCTCGAGTCGCGCCATGCCCGACCAGGACGGGTCCAGCTTCTTCAGGATGGCCGACGCCGTGACCCAGTAGCCGTAATGGTAGTGGTGGTCGTTGTAGATGCCGTTGCCGAACTCGACGTTGACGTCGCGGGCCGTGAAGACCTGACTGGTGACGATGCCCTTGTACGCCGTCTCGTAGACAAGCGGCGAGCCGAGTTTGTTGTCCAAGAACGGCTCGAGCAGTTTCTCGAGCTTGGCGAGACAAGTGCTCAGCAACGCCGTGTCTTCGCCCACGACGGCGCTGTCGGCGGCCATCAAGCAGAGCGACGCGTACTTTTGATACGCTTTGCCGTCAAAGTACCAGCTGCCCGTGTGGAGGCTCCAGTGGCTGTCGATGTCGCGCTGCAGCGTCAACAGGAGATCGATCTGGGCGACCACGTCCGGTGACGGCTTGTGGCGCGGGTAAAAGTCCACTTCGTCGGCCGCTTCGTCCTCGGTCAACGTCCAGCTCGACGACGTGGTCACTTGGCCGACCATCTGGCCGCGCGTCGTCGAGTGCAGCACAATGGCGCCGCTCGACTGGGACGTGCGGGCGTCGGCCATGACTTCGACCTGGTGCGGCAGCGCAAAGTGGAGCAGCCCCGTGCGGTCGCAGCCCGTGCCCTCTGTCTCCCACTGGAACGAGTACGCCGTGCGCGACTCCATGACGAAGCTGCCGCCACGCACGACGCAGGACACGTAGTCGTCGTAGACGCTGTGGTCGCCGCCCTCGGGAAGAACCGCCACGCGGAGCGTACCCGTGTAGGCCGCACTGGCCGCGAAGGCCGAGCCCGTGCTGTCGATCGAGAAGGACGCGCTCGTGTCGCTCGAGTAGACCACCCACGTCTGCTTGTTGGGCAGCTGGAGGACGTACTTGCCGGGCGTGGAGCTGTCCGTGAGCGTCATGGCGTACTCCGAGTGGATTGCCGCCGTGAGACCGGCGTACGTGGCCGAGACGAACGCCATTCCGTTGACAAGCGCCGAGTCCATGCAGCTATCGCCGCCCGATGCGACGCAAGTGCGCACACGGACGCCCTCGTCACTGAACGCGTAGATCTCGTAGTCGGGTTCGGTCGACGCGAACTCCGTCGCGGACAGCGTGAGGTCGTTGTGGAAGGCGTGCAGGTAGTACTTGACGACGCCGTTGACCTCGTTGGCCATACTGCGGTACGAGTACGGGTAGCACGCCTGGAGGCCGAACGGGGCTTTCTTGGGCAGCTTGAGCGCGTACGGGTTCGCCCAGGCCGGCGTTGCCACCGTGTCCGCGTCCTGCGCCGTCGTGTGGATGAGGTTCCCCCACCACTTGTTGGTCGGCAGCGGTCGCGTGAGCAACTCGGCCGCCACGTTGGCGATCGGCGCCAAGTCGGAGAGTGTGTCGCGGCGCTGGAAGATGTCGGACGGTGCGTCGGTCGAGAACGGGGCGCGGTACTTGTTGCTGATGCTGCTGCTGCTGCTGCTGCTGGTGGTGGTGCTGCTGGTGATAGTGCTGCCTTCGAGTCGTTCCTGAAGCGCATGGACAGTGCCCACTTGTTCCGTGCTGTCGGCGAGCGACAGGTTCGTGTCTGCCGCAGCGACGGCGGCCGCTGTCCCGACTGCTTGAAACAAGCGCACGATCTTCATCCGTGCGAAGAGAGTGAGGCGACGAGCGGTCGTGCGAAGAGGTCAGTGCTGCTGTAGTTGTTGCAGTTGCTGTTGTTGCTGCTGCTGGAGGTGCGCTGCTCCGAGCAAAAGTGGGAATGCCTTCACCCGACGTCGAGCTCACAGATCCGCTGCAGCGCACCACTTTTCCACGTCCGAGTGAGAAAAGCGATCGTCGGTGCTGGACCTGAACGCGCTCATGGGATGCCGAGGCGCCACGAAACGCACCACCTGCAGCGCGGACCCACATCGCCTGAGGAGACTGTGGCATTTGGAGGTGGCGAAACGGTGGCCAGCAGGAGATCCTCCGTCCAGTCTCGACGGTGGCCCGTCCACTCGCGTCCGCCGTGGCGCGCGATCAATTGGTTTCGGTGCTGACCATTGCGTCGGTAGCCAGACGTGTCCCACAGTCTCAGTGCGCTCGGGTGGTCAGCGCCCGCAGGTCAAGTGGGTCGTTCCACCGCCAGTGTAACGTGACGGTGCCGCTTTCTGATTCATTCACTGCGGCTGGATACGCGCAAGCGTTTTTCCACCGTTATGGCTTCTCGTGTCCCATGTGGAGACACAGTGTGGTACGCAGCGTGTCGCGCTTGACACCCCGACGATCAGACGAGGCGGGTCGAGGCAAAGTGCGTCGTCGCGTCGTGGCTTCAGTCGATGGACGGCGCTGCTTCAATGCGGACGGCGGTGGTGCAGAGAAGAGCCGAAGTTGATGGGCGGACGTCGTTGTCACGTACAGAAGTGGGGCGGGTGACCTCGATGTAGATGTCAGAGTAGAACAAAGAAAAGCCAGGACCACGAGTCAGTAAAGCGAGTGGCTTAACCTCGTCTTTGCAAAGCATGCATGATGGAGATGGAAAGCTCTATACATATTTCCCAACCTGCTACTCACCACGGATCAAAAATGGACTACCTCAACAAAGCATCTCGACTCAGTGGAGGGCCGAGCCGAGCGCACTCTGCGCGTCGGGGCTCATCTGCGCGACAATCTCCTTCAGCTGAGCCTCGTACGCTTGCAGCAGACCACGCACACACCCTTTGACTTCCGTCTGTGTCTCCTCCTCGACAATCGACGTGGGCGACAAGGCCTTGGCGTACACGTCGAGCACCTGCGGCATCAAATTGAGCACCACGGGGTTCTGCGAGCTCACGAGGCCGTTCAGGCACTGGAAACACACGGGACTCTCGTCCATGTCAGCTTTCAGCGGCAAAGCGCTCAAGAACACGGGAAGTACGGCTTCCAGAGGCACGCTGGCCCCACCAGCAATGATCATGCGAGCCACTGCAGCGCACGCATTGTCAACCACCACTTCATCGTTGTCGGCAGTCTCGAACAGCGGCCGCAAGGCCTGAAGCATCTGCTCGTACGCACTCGCGAGCTTGTCGCCACTGATCTCCGCGAGGACACCCATGCAAAAAGCACTGTTCGCCTTCAGCACGTAGTTGTCCGACGCAAGGCCTTGCAGGACCACTGGAAAGACCGTCTCGACAAACCCCAGACCGCCGGGACCTAGCTCGCGGAGCACCTCAGCAAAGCAGCCCACAGCAGCCGCACGGTCACGCGCAGCGCGGAGACCAGTGGCAAACGACATGAGAGCTGGAAACAGCTCCTGGAAGGTGGCCAGGAAGTGCTCACCGTAGCACTTGGCCAGCACGCCAATCAACTCGGACGCGCTCTCCAGTACAGAGCCTCCCTCTTCTTCTTCGTCGTCGTCCTCGTCTTCTTCGTGGGTCGTCTGGCAGACGTGCTCGTGGGAAAGCACCGTCTTCGTGATACGCATGAGCTCGTTCATGTGGTCCATGGTCACGACGGGGCCGACTCTGGCGCTCATGGCCTTCACAGCATTGAACGCTTTCACGACCACAACCGCCTCAGGGTCTTCGAGCAGCTCTTCTACGAGACTCTTCATCACGGCAGACGCGATCACAGCGTTGTTGGGCGTCAAGATATTCTTGTTGAAGTCACCCTTCGTCCAAATCTGCACGTCGCCGCTCGAGGCGTGCGATGCCTCGAACGAGCAGATGACAAGCGCAGCCAGAGCTTCGGCCACTGCACCACGAACGTCCTCGTGGATGTACTCCGTAAGTGGAGCAAGTGCCTCGAGGAACTTTGGGATATACGGCTCGAACACAGGGCCACCGCAGTTGAGCGCAAGCTCCTCTACAGCCGCAACAGCGCGAACCTTGGAGTTCAGGGCGTCCGTGCGGATGCTGATATGGCGCAGCACGTTATCGTCGGTTTCCGCTTCATCATCCGAGTTCAGTCCTTCCAACACATCATCATCGTCGTCCATCACACGCAGACCTTCATCGCTCACAATGGCCTGCAAGACGTGAGTAGCTGCCTGATCCAGGAACGGCGCAAACTCTTCCTTGAAAATGCTCGAGACGTTGATAAAGTACACGAACGCCTGCTCTTTCAGCTCCGAGTCGTCGAGCTCGATTGACGAGAACACAAACGGCATCGAAGGTGCAAAGTACGGGCGGAACGGCTCCTTGCCCAGAGCAGTGGCGAGGTAGCCTAGACACTCAATGGCAGCGCCGCGCAGGAAGAAGAACTTCGGGTCCGTGATACCCCAAAACGGCTGGATCAGTTCAGCCACCGACGGAAAATACGGCAAGAACGCATCCTTGGCACCAATGGCAATCGATCCGACGGCATCGAGCGCCATTTTCTGCAGCTGGGGCGAGCCCGTGCGGAGCACATCCACCAGCTTGGTCATCAGCGTTTCCAGATACGGCAACACCTGCTCGCTCTCCATGCTCTGTGTGATCTCATCAAGCACGTAAAGAGCCGTTGCTTTGATCACCTTGGACGCATTGTCGAGCAAAGTCAGACCGATCGGCAGGATGTCCGTGTAGTGGTCGGTAATCGTCGGCTGCAGGAACTCGGCAAACTGACCAAGGGCAAAACACGAAGCCTCACGAACGTGCTGGTCCACATCTTGTGCGACGCGGTACACAGCGGGCAGCAACTCGTTCAAGTTCTGGCACATGAATTCGCAACAGCCCTCGGACATAATGCCCAGGGCCAGCACACCAGCCTTGCGCTTGCGAGCGTCTTGCGACGTGATGCACTCGTTGCAAATGCCAAACACCACAGGGTTCAGGTACTTTGCAGGCACACTCAGTGCCAGCGAATCCAGCGTTTGCTGAGCCAGGTGTCCAGGGGACTCGTCATCCTCATCGTCATCCTCGCCGTCGGCCTTGTTTTCACGCGCCAGCAGGTTGGAAATCAAACCGCAAGACACAGCCTCGTCGGCAGCCACAATGTCGAGCATGGTGGTGAAGATCTTGGACACCAGGTTCTTCTTGCCAATGGTCTTTGGTTTCTTCTTGATGAACTCCCCGATAGCGTAACTAGCGGACGCACGGGTGCTCACTTCCAGCTGCTCTGCCAAGATGATCTGCAGCAACAGCTCAATGAACTGCGGGAACGCCTGATCCAGAATCGGAAACGGGTGCGACGCAATCTCCGAGAACACGTCCATGAACTCGACGGCTTCGGCCTCGGCCCCACTGGACACGCACTGCTGCAAGACCGTGATCATGAGCGGCACGAGGTCCCGAAAGTCACGGAGGTCGGCTTCTTCTAGAAAGTCCACGAGGCTGCAGGCAGCGCGCATGGCGCCCACACGGACCTTGAGGTTCTCCGAGTCTTGCAGCGCTGTGGCGTACAGCTGCTTGAGGTCGTGAAAGTGCGGCTGGAGCGACGTGCCCATGCCTTCTCCCAGCAGCTGCAGCAGCTTCATGCCCATCTCGCGCTGGTCCACGTTGGCGCTGTTGGCACACGTGCTGATGAACACCATGAGCTCGGGCCACTTGCCCGCAGGAACCTCGTGCAGGGCCAGCGCGGCGACGAGCGTAGCGACCGTCGACCGCACGACGTGCACGGGATCATCGGCCGCGCGGCTGAGCAGCACCTGCTTGGCCTGCGCCTGCGCGGCCGCGTCCAGCTTGGGCCAGTGCTTGAAGACCTTCTTGCGCAGCATGAGGGCGGCCAGTTGGCGCACCTCGGGCTTGGCCGAGAGCTGGAGCTGGGTGAGCAGACCGCCGACGGACGCGAGCTGCTTCGTGTACGTCTTGAGCACCGCCTCGGCCTGTTTGATCTGCTCCGTGTCGGGGTGCGTGAGCTGCAGCAGACACGCCTCGAGCTGTTCGGGGGAGAAGGCCGCCATGAGCCTCAGGGGGTGCAGCGAGCGGCGCGTCGGGCAGATTGCGGAATGCCGCCGAGCGCGAGATGCAATGCGAGGAATGACTGGTCGACGCTCACGCCTCTCGAATCTTATATCACCCACGTGGGTTTTTTGCGGGACACGAAGGGCTCCACAGTCAGTTCGTCGGCGAGCACCCGTGCTTTTCTGCCGCGCGATGGCTTCACTTTTTCCCCTGCGAGCTCGGATAGCTATCCGGTTCTGGAAGCGGCAACAGACGGTTATTGCACGTAAACGGTATGTCGCATCGACGCCGTGAGTGCAGCGCGGATAGACTGGACATGATTCCTTAGTGTAGCAGTCGACTACCGGCGTCTCACCCGTCATTTTCATCGATCGTTGCTGTGCATTACTTGACAGGGTCTAGCTGGCTTTGACATTGCTCGCTCGAGTAGTGCGATGTCAACGAGACTCAGCCGGTGCAACTTTGTCCCGTTGCGTCCGACCATCTGCCTCAGAATTTCGAGATGACGACACTATCAATCCATTGTTTTCTCGCTGCAATACTTGTTGACCTAAGATTGCTCTGCTCGTCTGCTGCTGGTAGTGTCACAAGTTTTGCATCGTGTGAGGTCAACAAGAGCCTTGTGATCGCTCGCAGAGTCTGTCGAGGCACCCAAAGTGCGATATCGACCGTGACCGCGGCCAGCTAGTACGACCATTGCAACGGACAACATCGAGCATCCTCTTTTGTTCGTTCAGGTAGTGTGAAGATCAATCTCTCCCTTCCTTTTATCGCTTCAGTCCTACCGTGTCGGTCGAAAGTGCAGACGGATATGCCGGCATAGGTTCATCCACGGGCTCTAGCTTCGATCTCGATTGTGCATAGAGCTACGATATAATTGCTGCCTCAAAGCAGATTATCAGGTCCCGTTGCGGTCGTGCAACTTGTACGTGTGGAAGGTGGCGACAATTGCAGTAACCTCAAACGAGTGATAGCCACAATTAGCTTCCAGCCGCAACGGCTCATCCGTTTTCCAGTAAATTGCGGACAGCTGATCTGAAACGACTGCATATCTAACGTGCAAAGCCAAACCTGCATCTACAGTTTACCGACTCCGCCACAAAAGCTGTGTTGGCAGCCTACCACAACGGGGGGGTGGTATAAAACGGACCAAAACCGGACAGCGTCCTTCAACTACCCCTATCGATAGCTTACCAAAAAGCATACCATCACCAGCAACGACAGCCACGTTTTCGACGGCCTGTTTACGTGACAAAAGACGTCGCAAATCCCACCAAAACGCGCCCAATTCGCAACACCCTTTCGCACTTCACGCACAACAGCTCGACACTGACCATGTCGTCGGACGTCTTCAGCTCCAGCTTCCGTGCCTTCTGTCAGGGCGTGCAGCACGCCGTCTCGTTGCACCGCATCCTCCTCTTCTACCTCCAGTCTCGCCTCATCTGCGTATCCAGCGCCAAGGTCGGGACGGCACTGTCTGCTGTGTCCAAAGCAGTGGGGATGCAGCTCGCGTCAGGTGTTTGCTCACTGTTTTTGTGTTTCGTGGACTCTTTGTTTTTATACGTGACCCATGCAGTGCTTTGTGCTCAATGGTCTGATCTTTCTGGGAAGTATCTACTTTTTCGACCAAGTCGTGATCCCGGTCATTCATTTGTTCGGGGAACTGCTCCACCGCTCGTTAACGACCAATGGGTGCGCGCGATTGTCTAAATTGATCACCCACTCGACCAATCGCTCGCGCGTGTGTTGATTCGACAGCATCTCGGTCCACGCGAATCAGATTCTCATATATTGTGTACCCAGGACAACGTCTCAAGTGGACGACGTCCGTGATCGCGTCGATGGCTTTGTGTTCCTACTGTACCAGGTACAGTGGTCGAAGATGTGAGGAATGCAAAGGAATGCTGTACTGACGCTCGATTCGTGTCAGGTGTTGTGGATGTATCCGATCTACAGCATCAGCTTTATCCTGAATACGATTTGGTACCAAGAAATTGCTGACGATGGTACGACTGGCTTGGAGCGCTGACGACTTGAACGTCGATTGATCTGACATGTGTGTGTGTGTGTGGATGGTGCTTGATGTCAGCATACGTGCAGCTTCATGGCAAACCGTCACCTACTGCAGTAACGGATATGATCCGGTACGTCGACTGCTTGTTGTTGTTGTTGTGTATATGTGTGTGTTTCCAGACTGTTTTCATTGACTCGGATGTCATTTGGTCTGGCGGTGGTGAATGGAACAACGAAGAGATGAGATGTACCGTGCCATCCTCGTGGCGTTCTTCCTGTTGCAGACCGTGCTGTCGTATCTCATTCCAGTCGTTGGTCCTGCTACGAGTTTCATCCATCTCAGCTGGCTGTACTCGCTCTACTGCTTTGAGTACAAGTGGTCGTTGGCGGGGTGGAGTCTGGAGCGACGACTAGCGCATTTGGAGCAGAATTGGGCCTACTTTGCTGGATTTGGCAGTCCTTTCACGCTGGCCACGTTCTTTGTCCCGAACTTCGTGAGCAAAGGAATATTTGCTCTGCTCTTTCCAGTGGTACGGCATTACCGGTCGAATCCAAGTGAGTGGCAGGTCGCTGACTGGTTCGTTTTTGGTCTTGCGTGCATGCGGTTGTTGCCTTTCGATTAGTTTCTGCTCCAAGCGATTGCGTGTGATCCCGAGACAGAGGGCAATGAAGCATCGAAGAAGCTGCCGATGTTCCGGTGCGTTTGCCACCGTTTGTTACTTGTCCTCATGTCACAGGTTCACGCTCGACGTGTTTTAGATTCTCGCGCTGGTGGAGCTTGCAGTTGTTGCGGCGGATCGGACATGCTACAGGCCTGAAGACGAAAAAGCAGAGGGCAATGGAAAAGCAGAAGCAAAGCAAACGGAGCTGAACATTCGCGACGCTGAACGATACCGAGACACTGCGTACGTGCAGGTGCTTTGCCTGTAGACTGAACTGGCAATGATGAAACCGAGTTGACGACGCTCGACCCTTGGAATGCACCATACACGACGATCTGTTGTGTCTGTTTATGCTTTGTGTAGCAGTCGCTTGTAACAAGAGCATATCACATCTACCAGGACAATGTCGATCGCGTACATGCAAAGCCCGTGGCTTCAATCAGCAGCAGAAACGGATGTCCAAACGCCATCTCGGCACCTGCCTTGAACACGTTGGCAGCATGGACGTAGACCGGTAATACACCGTTGCATCAATTTCAGACAGATGGTACAAAGAGCGATGGGAAACAGTTACAACAACAGCAACAGCAGGTTGGTCAACTGTGCCCGGTCTTGCATGCTTTTCCTTAGCTACAACTCACAACGTCGTCGCCCAAACTGCTACCTCGCCAAGCGGCTGAAATGCTGTAATTGCGTGGGTCTTCACTTCCGTTCCTGCACTCATCGATGCCGTCTCGCGGTCTCTTGTTGCTACACGAGGCAAAGGCAAGACCCAGTGAGGCAAAAGCACGCGTGGCTACAAAAACTGCCGTGATATCGTCGGCGCTGTGAACTTCGAATTGATCTGCTTTGCTGCCGTTATCATGCGCTCTGCGTCGTCTCCTGACATTCCACGACGAGCCGAAAGATCCCGGTCCCTACGTGGTGCAATGCACGAAGCACGTGAGTTTCTCGCTCTTCAACATCATCTGCTCATCGTTTCAGTCGACCAAAGCACAACATCGACAAACCTGTTCCATCCGCCGCTGCTTCGAGCAGACCTGCCCCCGTCTTGTGTCTGCTCTGCTTGTTTGCGCTGGTGCTTTTCTAGCAGTGACGGGCCTCGAGATTGTCGCAAGTTCTCCATTCGCAACCGCATTTCTTCATCCGCCTCGGGATTCGCAGTGGGAAAGATGGATTCGTTCACTGCCACTTTGCTCGACGTGGACGCCACACTGCGTGCAGCTTCAGTACCAGGCGCGTTTTCTTCGCGTATGTAACCCAGCAACTCACTGCAAGCAGCAAAGGGGAAGGAGTCAGTGCAAAGACACGACATTCTGTACATCCTGAACAATATGCATGTATCGTACACGTCGAGCTTGGCACGTTTTGCACGTTCGCGTTCTTCGGGTGCGTCAAACCACGTTTTGTCTACAGCAGCAGGTTCCTTTCTGCATCGACCCAATATTGCAATACAGAGATTAGTCCGGCGCGTCATACATTCAGCGATCAAAACCAGATCCACAGCAATACAACTTCTCTTGCTCGCACCTTCGAAAAGCGGCAGGTTTTCCCGGTGGTCTGCTCTGCGGTCCCAGCGAGTCTTGCAGAATCGAGCTCTCAGGCATCATCGTCATCCACGCTTCTCGTACCAAAAGATTCTTCCCATCCGCTTCAGCACTTTGACTCGTGCTACCATCACGCGTATGCTTCCACAGTTCTTTTTCCAATTGCTCTGCCTGACGAGCCATTTCGGCTTCCGTGCGCTCGTCAGCTAGACGAAAGCCCTTCATACCAGGCAGCGCTGGGCCCACAACGTCATCGTCGTCATCGTCCGGTACATTGCTGGTACTGTCAAATCTCGCCGACGCAGGAGGGAGCGCTGGGCCAATTGGCAGCTTTCGCCGACTTGGCTCTTGTGTTGCAAGCTTCACTGTTTCCGCGGGCGACGTCGGTTCAAGACAGTCATCGACTGCAGAAGTTGCATCAGGCTGTGGCGGCGCCTACTCGACGCACACACACACTCGTTCCCCGTCAGCCACTTTCCAATTGCGCGCGCCACAACGATCAAGCGAAATACATAAAACGCACCTGTTTGGCACTTCCAGACTGTATCAACTGTTGTAAAATCTCCATGACACTTGTCTCGGTCGCACCCTCTATCGCGTTACGTGGTTTCGCAAAAGCGTCCTTCGGTCCGCGTACCTTGGAGCAAAAACGCAATCACAACAACAACAACAACAACAACAACAACAGCAACAACAACAACAACAACAGCAACAACAACAACAACAACAACAACAACAACAACAACAACAACAACAACAACAACAACAACAGCAACAACAACAGCAAAGCCACGTCCCCACTCTTAGCTTCACGTCGAACGAAACAGTCCATTCTTCACTTGTAGCAGGCATTACACCAACACCAACACACCTTGACGAGTCCCAACAATGGGCACAGCTCCTTGAGCTTGGAACGAATGCGTCGGTTCTCAATACCGCCAATCACAGCGACTTCCCCGTCGTCCACCATCTGGACAAGCTCCAGTAGGTCTTTAGCGATCTCTGGCGTCTCTGTCAGCAGCTCTTGGACCACGTGGATCGCTTTCGCATAGTTTGGCTCCGTAACGACGTCGCGGTCATCGCGGTCATTGCGGCTTCTCTCATGGCTCTTGTACTCCCTCTTCTTCTTCTGCTTGTGCTCCTTCTTCTTCTTCTTCTTCTTCATCTTCTCCTTTGTCTTTACCTTCTCGTTCGCTTCTGCCTCGTCATCGCGTCGTCTCTTGTGTCGCTCGGGCCGCTTGTCCCGCCGGTCCCCCTCTCGCTCGTGGTCACTCATACGGAACGGGCACGTTTGTCAATTGTGTGTGGCCATGGTGTGGCACAAAACAACACAAAAAGGACAAGATTCGACAGTGTCCCTTTTATAACGCGGTTGCAAGCACGCGTCGTCGTGTTGCGAACGTGGGGTCGGGCTCGTCACAGCGGTCGGTCACTTCCGTCTCGTCTTTGCCCCAGTCCAACATCACTCGTGTAGCCAACTGAAGCTGAAGCAAAGAGCGACTTGTCCTTTTTTTATCTGGCCGTGCAAGCGCTCGTCAAAAGAGCTACTGGTCGTGCACGGGGTGTAGCCAACTTGTGGCCTCCTCTCGGTCGCCGCCTTTGCACGTGCGTCTACAGGCACTTGCCAACAAAGTGCCAGTGCTGAGCTCTTGAACCCTTCAATGCGAACCGATGCAGAAGAAGCGCTGTCAGTGGTGAGGCACCTGTTCTTGCCTCGATACGAGATGCAGCAACGCACTTCGTGTCTTGGTGTTGGTCAACACGACGGAATGGCCTTCTCGTGATCCGCACACGTTCTCTGTGACGTTGGACGGAATGGTCCGCGTCTCCTGCTGTGGATGGGTGGCTGCCACGGTTGGTACCAGTTGACAATGGGGAAGAACCAAAGCTTTATGGCTTGCGGAAACGCTAGAAAACACGGCGTGTCGTCACCACATGGGGAGCTTTCGCTGGAGCAACCGAAGCAGCAGCAAGAGAAGTGCGGGTCAAACACAGGCTCGAGGGTCAATGAATGACCATCTCGAGCGCACAATGCAGTGACCACAGCTTCCGTGAAGACGTCGCGCAACTGGCTGATGATGGCAGCTTGTCCGGTCACAGCACCACGTGCTGACGCCGGTAGCACAGTTAGTCGGCACGCCCTCTTCCTCGCAGCATCATGGGTCTTCACAGAGAGAATCTGGTCTGCCTGCTAGGCTGCAAAAGCTGTGTCCGCGACATTCCAATCGATGTAGAGCTCCTGTGCTCATACTGTGCATACCATAACGATTCAGGTCAGCTGAATGGATAGACAGGAACTGCCCCACACTTGTGAATGATTACATCTTCCGCAGCGTTCTGCCTTTAGCTTGCTAGCTAGTCTCGAACCGTCGAAGTTGATCGTAGATCTGTCGAAGCGGCTGGGTCGCTTCTTGACTTTCCGGGAAGTAGCTCAAGAAGTGTCCGAGCTGCCGGACCCACGGTAGTAGCAGACGCGGGAAGGATGTAACGTCCGTAGAATCGGTGCCATCTTTGCCTTCAGCGAGGAACGACCGAAAGATCCCGTGATTGAACACAACACCATACGCCAAGTCGGCGAGAGCTAGACTGTGCCGCACGGCGTTTCCGCGCACACCGTACCATACTAGTTCGTCTGTGATGTAGTAGAAGTCGAAGAACAGTGCCTGATACAATTGCACCAATTCGTAAAAGTCGTCCTGACGAGGCAATGCTCGAGTAGTCGCCGCTTCCTCGAAGCTTCGCACTGCCATGTGCGTGAGGTTGCGAGGGCTTAAGGGTGGCGCCAGATCTAACGCGTTGTCGAGGATGTTCAAAATCTCAGTCAGCTTTGGTGCTGATGGTGCGGGTGGTTGGCTGGGTGAGTTCTTGGGTGAAGCGTGTGGTGTCACCAACTTCTCGTGGAACGAAATCAAGCACTTCCACGTATACTCGAAGTTCTACAGAACGACAAGCATCAAGCACTGAGATCATGCGTGTGAATACAAAAGACTCGGTATCGACGTACCTGCAAAAACTTTGCGACGATATCCTCTAGGGCCGAGATCGGGTAGCTTTCGCTGATATTTGGTGGGATGTAGAAGCTCGCAACATTGCTAAGCATGCAAGAAATGAAGGCTTAGATCAAAGAGGTACATGTACGAAGTTCAGGGGCTCAACATCGTACCTGCTTGTAAAACAAAGTGTGACCTGGTAGTGCTCCGCGAACTGGCTGATATTGTATAGTGTGACGTGCTCTTTCACGCTATGATCCCACAGCTGATGGTGCTTCCATAACGCTGTGACGTCAGGTTTGACCCGAAGAACCACAATGCATTGAGGTCGTATGGTCAACAACAATGTTGACTTTCGGCCAGCACAGACACCGCGATCCAGCACGTCTAATGTGGCGGAACCAGGTTGAGTCTGACTCTCATCAATCACTAAGCCAAAAAACATACTATCGTTCCGCAACGCCAGATGGGCGTTGATGTCCTTCCTCGTATTGCGCACGACCAGAAATTTCTGCATTTCATCGGCAGCTTTAGCAGACAGGTCCGGACTTGACAGAATAGGTTCTAGCATTGGAAAGACCAACCCAAGGAACGTCGGCTGTGCCGAAAAGTAAGCTTCTCCATGTAAAGGAGCTTCGTTCGTTTCACCATTCGCCACATTTACCATCAGCTGAGGCTGGCTGCAAACGGCACGCAAAATGACGGTTTCCCTGAAATCTTTCACCAGTCGACAGCTAACGTATACCTCAATTTCGCGCACCCACGGATCACTTAGTTCGTCATCGACCACATTGCTAGCTCCAGGCAGAACCAATTGTTTTGGCTGGGGGCGGAAATGCAGGAATACCTGCATGCTTGAATGAGCTCCAAGAGTAACTGTAGTCACCTCGTTCAACGACATCGGTGAGACGGAAAAGCTTACTTCTTGTGGTCTAGCATTCGTTGACAAAATGAAGTCAAGGCTTAGACCCGACGAGTTTTCAATCACTATGGAGTGGTTCTGATAGAGCTTGTAGTAGTACACCTCGCGGAAGTCGATCACCAATTGTTGAGCACCGCCCAAAGTGCTTTCTGGAGACATTTCAATGTCAGACCGACGAGGCCGTTTCGAATTGCCATGGTTTGACACGAGCACGCGAAATAAGTGTCTCGTCAAGTCTAGTTCGGAAGACATACCTCGTAGGGAATTCAGATCCGCAATAACTTCCAGCCTCACGTGGATTACCTTTAGATCGGATGGGTTCGCCAAATTCTGAAGTACCATGAAGGTCGAATACACTCCCACGACGCCCCTGAGAAAATACAGCACGACGCTCTGGTAGCTATGTGTTCTGTCCAGTGTGCCACGCTCGCGGCTGAGTTGCAGCCACGATCGGGCAGTCTTATCGACGAGCATGAGATGGTAGTCCACGGAATCAAGACCAGCATCTGCTGCGCTACTGAAAAGACTTTCAATCGTGATTTCCCACTCTACTTCTCCGCCATTGCGGACCGTGTGCTGGCCCACATCAATCAGGTATCGCGTGTTTTCCAGCGACGAGTACTCGGCCGGTGTACAGCCCCGAACCGCCAATACTGGCAAACAATTCTTTTGCCCCATCGACCCTGAGCGAAGTGAGGAAACATTGAACTCACGAGCATTATCCGAACCAGTCGATTCCGATTGTTCATATGTATCATTTTCAACATGGGTCGTCAACGACGATCTACGACGTGGTTTTCGGGGCTGAGCAAGCCGGTCATTGCGGGCCGATAGTGCAGTAGTAATCAGGTTTGTGTCCAGAACGACGTTGCCTTGTTTGCCGTTGTCGCCCGATGAGCTCTGTTGCTGTAATACTAACAGCACATCGATCTCTGTGGACACTTCAGTACCGAGGTTTGAATCAATGTCACGCACAACCAAAGACATGCGGTTCTGTTCACTCTCGTCTAGTAGCGTTTCTGGAGCATCTGCGTCCCATGAGTTGCTCCGCCAAGTCGGGTTGCGCCGCATTGTATGTTGCGGTGCTGTCCTTTCAGATACATTGTCGTCATTTTTTCCATCGCGAAACAAATCCATGCTTGTAGGAGCCGCTTCTTCGAGACAAACTGTAATTTTCAGCGATTCATTGGGCGCTATCGTGCCCGATGAAGGAACTGCTACGGCTTGGATCCATCCATTCATGGCACACATGTCCGCTTCCGCTGAACCCTTAACCAGGCACAGTCCCGGTCGATACATAGAGACTGGACTGATGTCGAAGTTCAGCGCATCCAACGTTGACGGATTGCGCACCCAAAAACTTTCAAAGGAGTTGCGTAGCTGGTGCACAACACAAGCTGTCGTCTGTTGGGACGTTCCGCTCGATGAGATTTGAGAAGAATCTCTGCGGCCCCCAGCTTTTAACGACAAGGTCGCAGGTAGTTGGTTCGCCGGAATGTTTGCAGGCAGATCGGTCGCGGTGGCAAAAAAGTGAAGGCTGGATGCAGATAGCAAAAAAGTCTTGCCTGGCAACAGCTTTCCCTTCACGCGAACCTTTTTCCGTTGTGCAGCTTCTTCTGCCTTTCGAATGGTGATATCGACTAATACGCGTCCCAAGTCCAAAATGTCGGACGTAGCGCCGCTGCTTCCAGATGGCCACGTGTCAGACGACAGACGAGCAGACGGAAAGACGTGACATACTACGCGAATGTCGACAGATTCTCCGGGAGAAATGACGATCGAACTCAACGGCGTGTTGGCTGAGCGAAGCATCAAAAGCAGCTCGATCGATCTATCAAGAGTAAGGACGTGCAGTCAGTGCAATGCCTGCAATACCTTGCAACAAAATGAACACAGACAAGAAAAGAACTTACCGGTCAAACGGACTGTGTGTTTGGGAGGAAAGCCTCACGCTCAACTCTTCGTCGTACACATTTCGCAGCGAAAACCAGAAGCTGGCACGATGAAGAGGTGCTTCCTGCGGTGCGGGGACGGTGACGGGAGGAAGGAAAGCGACGTGAGCTTCCTTGAGCGCTGACGCATCCGTCCTTTTGTCTGAGCTCTGTGGGTCAATCACCAATTCCGCGTAGCTGGAAATAATCTGCGCCTGAACCAGCACATTTTCGCGGTTGCGCGGATTGCATAGGTTGAAAAAGCGGAGCAGAAACTCATGACTTCCTGCAGAGAGGAACTGATCAAAATAACAACAAGACTTAGTTTGGGAAGCTCAACACCAGGTATGCCAGCAAGGACGACTGCGTACCTCTTTCGTTCTCACTAGTTCCATCTCGAGTACGCACGTTGTCCTGGGCTGTACTTTCCACGCATTCCAGCTTACATCGTTTCCATTTTCAAGCAGGCGCTCAGCATGTAGCGCGAGCATTCGAAGTGAAGGAAGACGCTCCATCGACTTAAGATTCATCCCGTCATCAAATTCAATCCGGCGAGCGTCACTGACGCTACACACACGAATGCAAGCTGGTAAGTGCGCAAGTACAAACGACACCGCTACATCGGATACATTCTCTACAGAGATCTTGAACGTCGACGATTTCCACCCAATCGCGTAGCCAATCTTTCCTAATGCAACGTGCTTCACTGCAATATGAAAGCGCGGCTCGCCATACAAACCTGAAACATTGATCACTTTTAGTGTGCACGGTTCCTCCCCGTCCCCACTCTCATCGGTTTCAAAACTTTGGATTCCAATCATTCCTCGCAGTGGGTACAGCTGCCCGCTTTCAATCGTTTCGGTAGGTAGTGGCGCAGTAACAGCGATCGGTGCAAAGCGAAAGGATAGCGGAAACGTGCTGTTTGCCTCAACAGTTAACGACTCGCCATAGAACACGCTTGCTTGTGGATTCTTTTGCAGCGCAATATCATCCACCAGTCGTGGGATACGTAGCCTTCGTACGTCCTCCATCGAAGCGAATCGAGCAGTTGATCCGTTTGAGACGCTGGACTCGTCTCCTATCTGTTCCCATCGAAACGTCATCGGAAGGGTACTAAACGGGCGCACTACCATCCTCCGGTCGGTAGTATTTGTTAACACGAGAGTCTTCTCACCAGGTAAGCGCAACACACTATCCGCAGTAGAACGCGCTTCGATGAACGGTCCATCATCAGGCTTCCTGTAAATCCGATATTTGCAGCTTGAGGGATCATTGTCGCCGGCAACACATGTAGCGTCGGATAATTCGTCCTCTAATCGGATCACGTTAATGACTCCTAAGTCTACGACTTGCACCAGCACTGGTTTGTGCAGCGCATGATTAGATGCAGATACGCTCTCCTCTCGTCTCAAATGGGCATCAGTGTCTGACCCCGCAACTTCACAACTCAGGGCGCCATTGTCCACAAAGAGTAAGACGTCGACAAAATTTACATTGCCAGGATAGTTGCTGTTTTCCACCATGATACGCCGACGAAACAGCCCATTTGTATACGCCATCATTCGGAACTCAACCTTCCCGGTTGCGCCTGCTGGGATTTCCCCTTTCTCGTGTTTCAAGGATAAATGGAGAGAATCGTCGTCATCCGAGTAACCCTCGGTTGCATTCGTAACGTACAAGCGATATTTCAAGGGTAACGCCGTGCTCATGTTGATCAGCTCAAACTGACCCTCATGCGTTTGGCATGTTTGCGTTCGCCCGTTATTGTATTCAACGCCAAAGTCGATCAGGGATGGTGCAATGCGTGCAATACTTGCGCCAATCACACCAACAAACTTGATAGTGAACTCAGTCAGCATGTCGCTTTTCTCCTGCCCTAGAGTGTCAACTTGCGGTAGCAGTCCGAAGAGCTGAACGCGAATACCACCCACTAAATCTCGAGTAGAACCTGTCTTGATAGCGTCCGAGGACAGCCGTGGGCGAATCGCGACATAGAGATCGACGACCTGCATACCCTTCATTACAACGTGGGTTGCCTCACGCTGCAGACGCGCGTCTTCATAGACGTAGCACTGGGTCTTTAAATTCGATGAAGCACAAACAACCAGCGTGTGCTCGACTTGGCTATGCAGCGTAAGTTTGTGAACCTTGCTGAATCGAAACGATCCATGTGGATTATCCACAGATGTGTCTTGCATTTCAGGCGTGACATAGCACGGGCCCATATCCAGAACTTTCAGTTGACCGGTCACTTGTGGATCCAACTCGGGAATCCGGACATACACTGGCCGAACTATACGGACCGACAACGTCAACACTGACGTGTCTAGACGATCTCCACTGAGATTTCGCAACACGATTTGTTCATTATGTTGTCCCGGCACATTGCCTTTGTACACAAAAGTTGCTGTCGCAAACGACTCCGCTGGCACAGTTCCCGTAGCACTTTCGAACGTCAACTCACCTCCAACAAGCGAAGGTGAGACCGATGGTGGTATGCTCCCGCTACCCGGATCACGAGACCCAGCCAGCAGGAGATACTGGAGGGCTTGTTGTAATCGGTTGTGAATAACCACTTCGCCTCGAATGTCCTCTCCTTGCTGGTGCTCACCCAGATCAATTGCTTCCTTCTCGAAACACAGCGACCGCTGCACCGTCTTGGTTACAGCCACGTTGAGGGATGATATTCGAGTACGCTTCGTCGTATCCTGGCAACGCTTTTGAGACGATGTGTTGTGTAAGCAATAGAAGAAGTCAATTGTACCTGCGCTCAACTCCGCAGCTTCAGACACGCTCTCCAAAACTGACCGACTCACACAAGACGCCAAAGGAGTCGACGATGCGAAACCCGCGTCACTCGTAAAACACCATTTTAGGTCCAAGCTCACTGTGCGATTAACAGGGATGTTTAATTTGACAGGAAGTAGCAGTCGATCACAAGCTTCCGCCTCATTGGCAATTGCCGTTGTCTTATCTTGAACCATAAAACCACGCGGGACTGCATCGCACGTCAGCGCCATCACGTTTTTGAAAGTGCTAGCTGGATTCCACGCAATCTCAATAACTGCTGAGACTTGATACGAAGGAGAATCCAGGGACAACGCCACCGACCAGCCATGAGTGCCCGACGGTGATTCTTCCGCTGGTACCAGCAGGCTTGAGCCAGTCGGAAAAGAACAACACTGACTTGAATCAATGTCCACATTCAACTTTTGTGCTTTCTTGCCCGAACCAGGTATTTCAATCGTCAAACTGTGGCGACGTTTCGATACAGCAGATGTCGCCTCGGAGGGTGCAGTCACTGATGACGGGACATCATCCACCTGCGCCACAGAGCTACCGTTGGCGCCACTTGGCTTTCCCGTGCGGCTCTCCAAAATGCTTTCATCCATGATAGAAAGCGCCGTTCCCGTATTGGGATGCGGAGGAAGGACGGACGGAGGCTTGCGGCCAACAGCACGACAGAAAGCAGTTTCACCTGCAGATGTTCGCAAGAAAATTTCGGCGTTGTACTGCAGCTCCTTCACCACATCCTTATTTTGTTGCTCGAACAGCAAAAACTTCCCCACTCCTACGATCGTAGTCGCATCTCGACGGAGCTGGCGCTTCTTCACCTCTTTACGTTGAACGGCTTCACGCTTGTTGCCGTCCTCTCTGACTGTCGAGGAGGTGTCACCAGACTTGATGGGGTTGAAAATGGCATACGCTACAACTTTTCCAATCGCCTCAGCCCCCAAAGAAAACTGCAACATGTTGGTCCGAGGTGATGGTCCGCTTTTCACATTCGCGTAGTGCTTGTCAGAGTGCCTCGAACGGTGACGCTGCGAACGTGAACTCGATTCCGACTCAGAAAATTCTGACTCGCTGTTAGCACTATCGTACGGATCACACGCTCCCGCGTCACCACTCTCCTTCAACTTTTCGATCGTTTCTGCGTCACTGTCTGTCGGTAGTTGTTCACCCGATAGTAAAGCCTTGACTTGCGAAATCTTAGCGTTCAATTTGACAATCTTGTCCACCTTCTTTTTCGTTTCCGCGATGCGCAGCTTGTGCTCCAGTTTCTCCAACTCCTCATCCAACTTCTTTTCCTGTGCCTGCGTGATCACGGTTGCCGGTGTTTTGTCAATCGAGAAGTAAAACGTCGGCCGCAAGTTTGGGACCGTAAAGCTCTGGTCTACCTGAATCACATACTCTCGTTTCTTCCGACTGGTGTTCCGGAGAGCTATCTTCACCACTTCGGTTTTTTCACCTACGATACACTTTCCAAACGAAATCGTTTGACCTATTCATAATCACACATTGCACGGTATCAATAAATGCTCTGTTTTGGTAGCATTTCAGCAATGACGACACCATCGTACCTGACTGTAGAAGCTTAAACGTTTCACACTTGACAATCCTGGCCTTGATGGTGACCGAGACTGAGTTCTCTGCATCTTGAATGTTGACAATTTTCAGCTTCTCTTCGAAAGGGCCAGCCAATGTTGGTTGGAATTGAAAGCAAATTTCTTTCGTGCCAAAAGCCTTGACCACTCCCACCTCTCCTTCCTTAATCTGCAGAAAGCCCGATGAAATCGAGCCCGTCTTTTCCACGCTATACACGAGAGGGGTGGCAGACATGTTTTGTACAACCAACCTTTTCGAGCTTTTCGACGACGTCGAAATACGGCCAAAATTGATGTTCTTTTGGTTCACGTTCATCACAGAACGACATACTCGACTCTTGAGAAGCAGCTCCCTCACAGATGGTCTAGAATCGAACGGGTGACTTGATGCTGTCCACTCTGACTTTTTGCTTTGATCGAGCTTTGACCCTCCTACGTTTGCCTTGTTACCACCAGGTGGCAGTGTGATCAAAATCTTGTGCCTCTCGACTCGTGTCTTCGCAACATCATTCGTATCTGCTGTATCACTCGCCACAGGACTAAACACGGATACGATCCTTAGGCGTGACTTTGCAGGAACACGTACGTTTCGCTCCTTGTTGGAGTTGAGCAAAACCAGCTTCTTCTCAGCTAAAAGAGTCTGAAGACGCTTGGTGCGCTCCCGAACCATCGCTACTATCTCCTCCTCTTTGTCTTTCGAAGGCATAGAGCTACAGCAATATGCATCACAATCAGCACGCGATTTCGCAAAAAGCTGCAGAAGATCTGCCACGTCTTTCGAAGAAAGTTGATCTTCATGCGAATCCATGGGTGACGACAATGACGTATTAGGCGACCCATACAACGCCTCCTCCTCGTCAGCTGCCAGTTGTGGCACCTTTCCTTGTCTATCAAATCCACTGGCATGGTGTTGCTCTTGACGTCCTTTGCCGCTGTCAAAAATGCTGGATGTCGACCTAGAGATGCCGCACTTACCAGGCACGGCCGCTGATGCATGATGACTTTGCGATGCTGAAAGAGCAGTCAGTTTCTTTGCCCGTAATTCTCGAAGTGCTGTGAGTTTACCTCGTTTCCGGCTCATTTTTCCATCAGCCAGTTCTGACATACTGCAAAACGACCTACGGCGAGAAAACGTCCGCCCCACAGACGACTGATTCATTCGCGCCAAAACGTTGTCGGTGGTCTCGCCGCTACCATTTTGCGGGTTTGTGGACGCAGACGACGAACACAATTTGCTTTCGGCCTCACGCACGCCATCGGTTTCCACAAACTCTACTGGGGTTGCCACATCGGCGAATGTATGCTTTATGCAGTACAACCGAACTTTAGATGGAGCAGAGCTGCTAATGTTCAAGTGAAGCGGAGCGTTCGTAATGTTCTCTAGATCAAACACTTGGACTCCAACCGAGTTGACCGTCACATGATCAAAATTCAAGAACGCCGATCGGGATTGGGTCAAAAGTTTGTAGTACAGAGAGTGGTAGATCACATGGTGCGCGTCCATGTTGCTTGAACGCACGCAAATCTGCGAAACGTTGCTTTTGTTTCTCGTGTTGATGATGGAAATAAGTCGGGAATAGTTGGGGTTGGTTTTTCGCGGAACAATCTCAATCTTGACCTCAGTGGACTGCTTCGGGCCGAGCACCATGTCATCGTTCGGCACCGTCGAGATTACTTTGGACGTCACTAATGGCTTGACGACCGTTGGCAACTCGGAATGATTTGTCAGCATACAAGAGCTGCTCTTGAGTTCTCCAATGTAGCAATCGCCCAAATGCAGTATTGAAGGCGTCACGGTTACCAGGGAAGTGCAAGTGCGTGCGCGGACGTGAATTGATTTGCCAAGAGCGCGATCGTACACACGCGATTGAGCTTGTTGCCATGCGCCTTCCATGAGGAAACACCGAAACGAAACGCGAAACGTTTGCTTCGTTAGACGGGCAGCTTTGAGATCTACTGCGTCTGTCTTTTCGCCATTTAATCCTTCCAAATAGCTGACCGAAGCGGGTGAGTACCATATCAAAATGGTTCGCTCGACACCAGGCGGCAAGTCAATTGTTTCGACAAGAAAATTAGACGCATTCTTCTCGTCAATCGAAACGGGGTGGTGCTTTCGGGACTTGCCTCGGTCAGGAGAAGAGTGCCGGCTAGTGCACAGAGCAAACGTTATACATCACTTACGAGCTCAGGCACGCCATCGCTTATTGCTACGCTTACCTGTCCCCACCACTGTCGCAAGCAGCACCTTTTTCTCCAGATGTGTTCTTAGCGGACGTTTGCCCATTCATCCGAAATGCCTTCTCACGCAGCTCTGCAGTGCCTCTTGTAACACGCATCTCTGGACTCCCGTGGGGAGTTCGTGAGGGTGCGCGAGGCTCCCGGTCAAACTCAAAGTCATCATCTAAATCTTCCGCATCACCCATGGGGTTTTCATTGAAGGAGTTTTGCTTCGCGTGAAACTCTTCGTCGTAAAAATCTCCCTGTCATAACGCGGTATGCAAACAGCAGTTAGAGCGAGAAGCAGCACGCATTGAATCCAAACACATAGGAACCTCATTGTCATCGACCTCTTCGTCACTATCAGGTCCGTACGCGTCTACGTCTGATAACGGTAGCGAAGTCTTGGTACCGTCAGGCAGGACTGATTCTTCCAGACTCAATTCGTCATTCGAATCAGCAGGTGAAAGGACATCGTCAGCGCGTGGAGTTCTCGCCGAGCGTGAGCGATTTTGCAGCAGCTTGAGCTCAAACGTAACTTCTTTGGGCCGCTCGCTCGTCAGCTCAACATGTAAAGCCGCCTCCGTCATATTACGCATCAGGATCGTTTTAGAACTGGCGATGCCAGTGTAGCAATCACCAAAGTCCAAGCGGCTTCCGCTCATAAGATATGAACCGCCCGTCTCTTTGATGGATAGGCCTTCCCTGATAGACGACCGATGAAATGTGAGTACATGCAACTGACTATTTCACACCCGCGCATACGCTTGCGAACACAAGCTTTTCGAGCGCAAACAAGACTGACCTGTGGTGTTCTTGGTTTGTGATGGCGTGGATCCTCAGAGTCTTTACATTTCTAGAGTCCTGTAGGTTCTGGGCCTGAATCTCGAAAAAACGCTCTCCAACCTACATGCCAGCAAAAATCGACAACCACAAAGTGCGGTTGTGAACCAAACAACAGTAGCAGGCACCGTCGCTCCGTGCGATCACGCACGTACCTCAGTAGGACGATAAGTGACGCGAATCCGCACGTGCCCATAAGCAGCAGCCTGCAACGTTTTGTCTCCAATCACGTACCCAGAGTTGTAGTCCGTGCACACAAGCAGCCCCTTGTTTTCGCTCCATGGGGTCATCGGCGACGACAAGCAAAACAACAACGGGATCTCGGAGCGATTCCATACAGTAAAATCTTTGACGAAGGATCCGCCTGGCACGCAGTCGTCAAAATGCAGCTCCTTCACATCCAATCGCAGTAACGAGCGACACACTTGTCCTTGCAATGGCACCAGCACCTCTGCAGGTAACGATTGGCGATTGATCGTTGGACTGTCTACAAACGACGGCTGCAAGATCAACCTTCCGGACAGCAGAAAGCACGACGTCTCACTGAGATGCGCGCGTTCTTCGTCCGACGAATCCGGGGCTGCCATGTGAAGAGCAGCTCCTGCAGCTTGAGTTTGTGACGGCGTGAGCATGGTGCATATCGAAAGAACGATCGATTTCGACTCTCTTGGTGCCAACGTGACTTCTTCGACCGTCCTGATATGATTAAACAGCTCGTTGTAGCCTTCACAGAGGTACACATTCTCGGCGAAAATAGCAGCTCGAGAAGACGAGCGCAGTACCGAAAACGGCACGTGCTCAAACTCGTCCAACGCCACAAGACGCTCGTTTTTCTGCTCGCGCTCGCGCTGCATGATGCTGACGTTCTCGTTCTCGAGCTGGAAACCCCACTGACTGCTCTGGAACGGCTTGCGCAGCTCCACACGCAGCTGTATCTTGACCTTTTGCGTCTCCTGATTCGTCAACTCGAGCACGTAAATGTCCGACAGGTCGTTCAGGTACAGCTCACCCAGACTGAGCACGTCGCCCTTCTCCCCGCGATACTCGACCCGGCTCTTGTCCTTCTTGCTCAGCATGGCAACAGAGACCGCTGGACAAGGCAGAGCACGTGCACTAGCGACATCATTGACCGATAGACCGCCCGTCGACGCCCCTGCAGTGTCCTCAGTGCGCACTGTCGCTGCCATCTTGCGCACGTAGGACCGCAGTGAGGTCGCTGGAAGTGAAACGTTGATCGATGACTGGCTAAAATACAAGTCGCCACGACGAGCCAATCACGCGACGCCATTTCGGATACAACCACAAGTCGGCGCAGATGAGCGAAGCTGCTGGCGCAAGTGCGGCTCCTGCTCCTGCGGCGGCAGCTGCTGCTGCTGCACCGTCCATGTCGGACGCCGCGTATGCGTTCGACGAAGACGTGCTCAAGGACGTGCGCAACAACAAGGTGTGGATGCAGGATCCCAAGTACTTTCAAAAGGTGATCGTGTCGCCAGCTGCCACGATGAAGATGCTCAACCACGCGAGTTCAGGCGTCGAGAAAGGGATGAAAGCAGGCGGAAAGCCCGTGGAGATCATGGGCCTCATCATGGGTCGGCCTTCGACTGGGACCGACAAAGACGCTGGGGACGCGCACACGCTCGTTGTCACGGACTGCTTTCCACTGCCGATTGAAGGCGCCGAGACGCGCGTTCTAGCAGACGACGCCGAGGTCATCAACTATATGATCTCCCTGGGCGAAGCTGTCGAGCAGACGCGAAAAGAAAGGTTCATGGGCTGGTACCACAGCCATCCGTTTGATGTGGAAGTGCACAGCCACTGCTTCCTCTCGGCCACAGACGTCAGCACGCAGCTCCAGTGGCAGCGCTCGGAAGACCCACACGGCAATCCGTGGCTTGCTATTGTGATCGATCCACTGCGCTCGCTTGCCAAGAAGCGTCCAGAGATGGGTGCGTTTCGTGTGTACCCGCCAGAGTTTGCTGCGCCTGTGAATGAGACGCCGGACGGCACGATCGTTACGGACGAGAGCGCGCGACTTGAACGCTGGGGCAACTGCTGGAACCGCTACTACACGCTAGAGATTGACTACTTTATGAGCGCCCTCGGCTCGCAGGTTGTGAGCATCCTCTCCGAGGAGTTTCTGTGGATGCGCACGCTGAGCTCCAACACGATGCAAGAGCGTGAAAACCGGGATCGTTTCTCGGAGCGGATTCAGCTGCTGGCAAACAAGTTGGACGGTTGCGAAGCCCACTTGTTGCCGCGAGCTGGACGCAGCACCTCTCGAATTGGCGAGTACTACGTGCCGGAGAAGCAGCAGTCGCATAAGGATACGGAGGAGTCTGCACTTGACAAGATCACCCAGGCTGCGAACGAGCTCGCCATCGAGAACTCGCTCGGTCAAGAGCTTCAGGTTATCAAGAAAGCTCTTTTTAATGACCAGTGAATATCACGTGTGACATATGGGTCAACGGTAAGTTATTGTCATCAAGTGCCAATGGTGAGTGGGGACTAGAGACGCATCAGCTGGTCTGGAACAGCTTCGTTTTGGCTCGCCCTTCTCCCATGGCAAACAACTCCTCGGCAATTCGCTCTTGTTCTTCCATCATCTCCAGGTTTTCGTGGAGAGCTACACGATCAGCATTGTTGACAACGCTCACAACTGTTTGCTGGGGGAGCAGAGAAGCTCTCGATCCGCCGCCGTTCCGTTTTTTGAATCGCTTGTAATTCACTAAGCCATTACCGCCCTCTTTGCTTTGTCGAAAGGACTCTCGCTTCTTTACGACCAACTTGCAACTCACCACGACTGGCTCGGCAGCATCGTCGTGCTGTTCGGGTCTCTTGCCGTGCTGACGTAACAAGCGCGAGGACTTCCATGTCGATAGATCCACGGCTCTCGACTTTCCGACTGTCGTGCCACGCAAGCAAGAAAAACACGGCAATCGAGAAACGTTAGCATCTAGTCCTGTACGTATTCCAAGCCTTGCAAAGCAATACCGTGTCCTTCGGCCTCTTCCATTGAAAGCTGCATGACGTTAATGTGCGGATCGGTAGATGCATCGTCACCTTTGATCTGTCAAAAGAGCACGAAAGCTCGTGAGATGAGTAGACGATAGTGACATATCAACGACGACCACAGTACCTCTGCGTCTTCATCACGAGACATGACCAGCTGCTTGGACGCTTTCGTCATCGTTGCATTGTTGTGAGTATCCTTGCTCTGCTGTTCTTGCTTCGATGCATCCTTCTTGTCCGTGTGCTCCACAGTTGATAGAGATCGCACGCTCATATGTTCCGGAGAGCTCATACTCTGGATGGACGATCCCGCGTAGCTGGCAAGGTTGTGATTGAACGTCGTGCCATTCGATGACGCGGGCGGTTGCACGAAAATCACACTTGCCGCGAGTTCTTGCACGCTCGTGAACACTGCTCCCATTGCCTCAAACAGTCTCACGCGTCGCTCCACAATATCGATATGACATGGCCAAGTGCTGGAAGCCGAAGCTTGCTGATCACTCTGCCCTGCCGTGCAGGAAGACCCTGCACCTTGCAAAGGTTCGACGAGCAGGAGCCGCTTGCTCGAAGTCAGCGAATACAGCTCACGCAGCAGATGCTCGTCGCTGTCGACGTGCTTGTACGCAGTGACTACAACACCATCCATCGCTGGAATAAGCTCTTGCATCGACTGCGGCGTTAGAAAGACCACTGCCAACCCCCGATAGAGCGTCTTGCGCAGCGCATTCGGCAAGTAGTTGCGCTCCACCGACGGCATGGATGGATCAGCAGGCAGGAACTCTTCACAGCGTGGCAGTGGGTCAGACAGGCTCGAGCGATTCAGAATGGCATCGAGCCACTGCGTGCACACCACTGGCTGGTTGTACACGAGAGCCCATAACACCTTGACCGTGGCGACAATGCGGCCTTGATCCATGATACAGTGGGTTGCGTCCTTGCTCGCGCCTGCAATCAAGTGCATGCCAAGGCACTGGCACGCGTCGTGCACTTGCGCGCGCTTCGAGCGCTGGAGGCGCGACGCCACGAGCACAAACACGTGGTAGCGCACGCGCAGCACGATCTTCTTGGCCCCGAACGAGACCTCGTCGCCCGCCTGCAACTGCCGCGTGCCAAAGCACTGCTCGTGGTTCACAAACGAGCCAAAGCGCGAGTTCGTGTCCACGAGCTCCAGTGGCGGCCGCGTCGCGGGGTCGTCCAACTGCTCGGCCGTCAACGCCCCGACGCGGAGCAGCGCGTGCGTGCGCGAGACGGACGCGTCGGTGGCGAAGGTCAAGTCGCAGTGCGTGCGCCCGACGGTCCACTCGCCAGCCACGAGCGAAAACGTTGTTGAGCCAGCGCTGCTGCTGTCTGCGACGACGTCGACGACCCACATCGCTTGGGGGCCCTAGACACACTGGAAGGCACGACAAAGCGCACGTATGTCCATTACATCCGTCCGGGCATATGACGAAAGCGATCGCGTACCTCAGTGAACGACAGCCACGAGCGGGAAAGAAGAAGAAAAGCGGTGCAACTTGTGGTTATCCCCAGCGTCTGCGGCTGCGCGAGTTTTTGTCGGACGTGGCCTCTTTTGTGCGGCAGATTGACGCAGTTGCTTCGTTGAGACCGATGATGGAGAGGCTGAGGTGGGCGATAGATAGGTGCGCCATACTTTCCGACGTCAATTTGGTACCCCCTATCGCACGGACTTCTACCCGGTGACATAACCTTCCGAAACACGACCTACGTACCTATTTGTCGATTGACCACAGTCTGCCTGCGCCTCAGATCGCTGCGTCAAGAGATGGTATAACTGGAGTTGGCAAACCTCTTTGTTGCTAAGGTCCCAAGTTGCGCCTCTCACTGGAAGTAGTATCCGCTCAGCCTCACTACCGCATGTGTACATAAGGGATCAAGTCGCTCGGATGCCTGCGCCGAGATCGATGCGCGTCGAAGCGATGTCTTTTGTCCAGCGTCTCACAGTCCTCGTTGACGTTGAGCGGGACGATAGACAGACGGGTTGGCAAAAGGGCGATCGATACCTTCTCCGCACTTGCAATGACAGCCGCATTACAACGGGAGAAGTGCTCCGGCGTGGAAGCGCCCCACAAGCATTGCAACCCCACACGATCCGCTGTGACCCGTGTCGATTGCAGCGAATACGCATAGTTAGGATCGTGATGGTTCGGCGCGCTTGTTCGTGCTCGCAGAGTCACAGCGGCTGTGCCCGCGCGTCTTGCAGTGCCCCACGTGCATTACCCGTAGAGCCATCTGACGTACACTGTGGGCACGGGCACTGACAGCACGTCGCATAAACTTGACCTGCTTGGCCCCATCCATAGCCGACTGCAAAAGGCATATTTTGTCCATGACATCGGACTGCTGGAGCTTTGACTGACCAGCTACAAGTTCAACAATGAGCCAGCCGTTCGAGCACACTTCACTCGCCCCGTGCGTGCGGCGCGGCTACTGTGATAATTCGACTTGGCCCAGCACAATATTCGCATTAACGCCGCAACTCAAACTTTTCGACATCCACTAGGACCATGGCCGGGCTCAAGCGACGACGCGAGGACGTCTCGCAGCGCAGCACGAGATCTCGCCATCGTACGCCGTCGTGCGTGTTGAATCCATTCTATCCGGTGCAGTGGTATGTGACCATTGTGTGCGACAGGTGATGCGAGCGACAGCGAAGACGCGAGTGAGACTGATGACGAAGTGCCGCCGACGAATGTCGTGGTGGCTGGCAGTCCCAGCGATAGCGACGAGAAGGAAAGAAACGGCGACGATGACGATGACGACAACGAAAACGATGATGATGATGAAGAAGAGGAGGAGCTGCTGGATTTCACGCAGACGGACTATGCCGCCCAGATGAGTCAGGCGGACCTTGAAGCGGAGGATGACGACGACGGAGGTGGCAAGAAGTCCGATGGTAAGCCGACCAAGCCCAAAGCGTTGCACCGACTGTCGGAAAAGGTGAGGGCACTGGCAAAAGTTACAGCTACCCTCTTCACTTGCGTGTGAAGGGTTGTCTGATCAGCGTGTGTGCGAGTGCAGGCGCTGGAAGAGCTGGTGGCGAAGCTAGTGCGCTATATGCTGTACAAAAGCGGTCTGAAGCTGCCGATCAAGTTTGTTGACATCAGCAAAGAGGTGTTCCCGCAGTACAAGAACGTGTCGAGGTAGAGTGGACTGTGGTTCCTATGGACTCGTAGCGATTTGCGATGCTGACCGACACGTTCTTGTGTGCTATTTCTGCGCAGATACCTCTTCTTCTTTGCGAAACAGAAGATCGAGAGTGTCTTTGGATACCGTGTGGTGCATGTGGACGACAGCTCAGGCAAGGAAATGTACTTTGTGCTCAACAGTGTGTCGTCGCAGGAACACTTGCTGCTCATGAACAAAAATGGAAAGGCTGCCTCACGAGGCTTCCTCATGATGGTTCTGGGTCTCTTGTGGTGCGCTCCAGCGCGGCGACTGTCGGAAGGTCTGTTGTCACGCTGCGCTTCAACCTCGGACGTATTGTAGATCGAACTGACACTCGACTCTAGATGACTTGTGGAAGCAGCTGGCCCGTTTGGACCCGAAAGTGCAGCTGAAAGTGAACCATCCACTGCTCGGTGACATCCCTCTTCTGTTCAAGACGTTGGAGAATCAACTGTACGAGCGCAACGTCCTGCATTGCTGTGACTTGAACGACGCTGCTCACAATCATGATGACTGACAACCTTCCGTGCCAGCTACCTCAACGCCACTTTTGAGATCGATCCGGACCTGAAGAAGATCCGATACTACCAGTACGGCCCACGCACGTTCCTCGAAGTGAGCAAAGTGCAGATCCTCAACTTTGTGTGCAAGGTACGCCCTACGTACCATCGACTTGGCTGTCTGGTCTTCATGCTGCGTGCTTGCCCGGTCAATTGATATCCTCTGTTCTCGTCAATGTCCTGCAGCTAATCACCGGCCATCCTCCGTCTGACGTTCAAGTCAACGAAGTCATAGCAGAGGATAGCTAACGGGAGAAAACTCCTCGGGGTTGTCCGCAATAGACGTCTTGACTTGCAGTCCCGTCTATGTTCACTGTCGTCTTGCGAGCCTGCCAGTCACCACGACATGGAGTCCATTGTCGCGGCCTACGGGTCGTCGTCCGAGTCATCGAACGCTACATCAGCCAGTGAAGCAGAATGCGCTGCCGGAGAGAACGAGTCTACTGCTCGTGACGACGCACATGTTGGGGCAAAGCGGAAGCGCTCTGGTGGACTGCACTGGAAGCGGGCGTTCCCACACGTGGATGGCAATTGGCCAAGCCACGTCCGGATCGACGTCTCCGTCAACCAGGAGCTACGTCAACTGGCCATGCACGCCATCAAACGGGCCCAAGAACTCGTTGGTGATGATGCGATCGCAGTGGTGCCGGTTGACGAGCTCAAGCTGCAAGAGGGTCCAGCGTCGGACGCACACAGTGCACTACATGTGAGTCTCTCGCGACCGTTTGTCCTCACTTACGACCAGATCCGTGATTTCGTCGACTCGCTTCGCGCAGCACTCAAGTGGCGACAACGGTGCGTGTGTTCGAATGCCGATCTTCGTGTTCACGCGGCCCACCAACGCGCTTTCGTTCGTGCAGCTTCTGCATCACTTTGCGTCGCAGTCTCGTGCTACTGAACGATGACAAGACACGGTCGTTCCTAGCACTCCGTGTTGTTGAAGGAAGTGGCGAAGTCGTGCAGTTGCTGCGCTGCGTGGACCAGTGCCTCGCACGCTTTGGCCAGCCTGTTTACTATCAGGTACGCCCTCTTACAGTCAGACGCCGACGACGGGAAAAACGGAGCAACCATATTCACTTGTTATCGTTCTGTGCGCTGCTGACGGCTTGGCTTGGTCGTGCTACGTGCGTGTGTGCTTTCATCGGCCATGTTTTTGCTTGATTCGACAGGACCCCATTCCGCATGTCAGCATCGCGTCTTCGGTGGGTGAAAAGCTTGCGCAACTAACACCGGAGCAATGCAATAGCCTTCTCGCCTGCCCAACGGCAACACAGCAGATGACGAAATCACACTCCTTGACGACAAGCGTAGCTGCAGTCCACGTTGCTGTAGGCAACAAACACTACGACATCCCACTTCGCTAATCGACAAGATCAGGCTACCCCTCAGCGACCAAAGCTTCCACATCGTTCCTCGCGGTGATGACTGTCGATCGACATCCTCGAACGATCGAGGTTACTCACTTTCTGAATCGAGAGCTAGATCAATGATTCCATTCAACCCGAAATCACGGTCCGGCGCTGCAAACGGCGTCTTTGTCATCGAGTCCAGTGGCACAGATGACGGCGACGACGGAAACGGCTCGCTTGTATACTCGTCCGAACTAATGTCCGATAACGTGATGACTGGCAAACCGTCTGCAGGCTTGTCTCCGCGTCCTTTTTGTTTTGACCGCTTTTGCCCGTTCTTGTCTGTGCCTTCGATCGCAACGTGAAACAAACATCTATCAGTGTAAGCACTCTTCCAGAAACATGATCCGACCACACACTACTGTACCGTTTCGTTTCCGCTTCTTTCCATCAGTCCCGTGTTTTCCTGTAGACGACGACACTTTACCCCTGTTTGTCGTTCCTGACCGAGCTCCGGTGGCGACATCGACGTCTGGGGATGACGCATTTCTGGCTCTGACTGCTTTGTTGCTTTGCTCTGTGCGAGCTCGGTCCCTCGATCGGGAACGACTGCGTCGCCAACCGTTTTTACCTCGGCCTCTTCCGTTCGAGCGCCAGTCACGGCCACGACCTCTCCTGCGAGCCAATTGGTTCGAGCGAGGTGCAATGACCACATGGCGACTACCACCGACGTCTCTTGCTTCATCGAAAGATGAAGACGAAGCATCACTGTGATGGACGTCTGCACCTCGGTGATCCTCAAACCACGGCACTTCGTCCCTGCGCCCTCTGTCTTTTCGTCCTTCATCTCTACGTCCTTGCTCGTGGAACATGGTATCGTGTTGACTGCTTTTGACTTCTGACCACAAACTGTCCATCCAAATTACTCGCGACGCTAGCTGTTGGAGGTCCCCCGATATTGTTCCGCGGTAGCCTGACAACACGAGCGGGTCAGATGTATACTGAGCCTACCTAGAATATCCTTGTGACGTAGCAGGACATACCCATTACCCAAATATCCTTTCGCAGCACATTTCGGACGTGGCTTAGCGAGCTATAGAAATCACCATCACCTGTCCGCGCATTCAGCACCTGAGCTTGTTGCATACTGTCATTACCCGAAGGACGACCAGACGGTTCAAACGCATACCTGCAAACAAAATAAAGCGGCCGCAAATCTGGTTCATATGCAGAATGAGCAGGGAAAATCGTGCAGCGTAAATGACAGGGTCAAAGAGTGCATAACGTAAGCGCACATTTTCGTAGGCGAGAGATAAAATCTTGGTGGCAATTCTGAACAGCAGGACGTCGTTATAGCGGAATACACATATTGCACCCGACGCAGGTTCAGGAACACACACACCCGTTGTCAACGCCCTTCTGCACATTCTGTGTGAACAGGTTGCCGCATCTCTTGCAATGGCAGCTGTACTTCTTCATAGGAAACAAGCTGACCTGGAACTATCGCCAGCAATCGAAGACACACACAACCGTGTCACGTTTTGCCAGACAACACCATTCTCACATGCAGCACGTTGCAATCTAGGGTAGTACCTGGGGTCCATCGGGTGGTGCAAATTTCAGCATATGATACTCTGCAGTCAAAGCTGGATTCGCTCTCTGCGCAGACGGGTTCTGGTCGAAGAACCAACAATCTGATGGACAACACAAGAGGGTCAGCAAGCATGCGCAGCGTGCGACCGACTTTTTAGTTCGGCGGCACCGACCGAGTCACCTACTCGAGACGACAAGCACAAGCAAGCGGCTACACAGCATCTCAACAATGAAGAGCAAAGTACTTGTCGACCTCCAAACTGCGTCATCGCCTGCTCTTCCAATGCCGACCGGAGCTTGACGTAGTCGATCTTGCCTCCCTACGAGTCACCATCCAACCACAGTCCCAGCAACGCTATCAGCTGCATTCACTTGCGCCGAAAAGCATCAGCCCGCGCTCCATACCAGGCTGCGAGCGCCAATCATTGCGTACGATCCGTCTGCATGCAGCCAACAAGTCAGTCAATTGTCACACAGACCGTTCCCATTGACCACAAACAAACGCTGTTCCCCGACAGCACTGCAATGACACACACAAACACACACACAAACACACACTGTACAGCACTATACACCCACCCACCAATGATCAGTGCGGTTCGGGACGGGCCACTCGGCTCTGCTGCCAACGTCGGCGACGCAGTCGACAGCGTCGAGCCCGAGCCGGGCAGTGTCTCCATCCGGTGGGACCTGCGAGTTGCCGTGTTGTTTTCATTGGCGGAGCGCGCTCCTTTTCTACCAATCGCCACACGTGTCCGTGACGTCGGCCACGTAAGCCGATGTCGTCCCTCCTCGCCTCCGCTTGGATTCCAAAGTACGCACACGCCGCTGTCCGCAGTGGGCCACACAAGCGAAATCTCCGCCACCCACCCGCAGCCCGTACTTACCCCGACAACGCCCCGCAGACACAATGCCCGGCGAAGAGACGCACAAGGAGTTCGATGACGATCTGGTCGACTATGAAGAGGAGGACGAGACGACGACGGACGCCTCGAAGGCCGCCGAGGGGAAAGACGCCAAGAAGTAAGCTACATACCCACCCGGTCTCGCTGTTGGAAGGAGAGGAGGAGGAGGAAGAGGAGGGGGAGAGGAGCGGGGGGGGGACGTAATTGACATTGTGGACCCGAGAGACGAGCGAGTCGAAAAGCTGTGCCGAGGAGAGACGGCAACATGCGCTCTGTGGCCGACTGCTTACGGGCAGAAGAGCTCTGTCGGGGTAGAACTGGCTGTCTTGAAGACGCCACAGACGGTCGACTGGCCGCTCGACTGTCGGTCCATCTGGCTGTCGGTCTGTCTACTCGCTCGGGACCCCACAAGAGAGAGGGAGGGAACCACGAGGAAAGAGCCCAGTTTTGTTAACCACTTCTTCTTCTGTATCTGTTGCCCATGGTGTCGTCGGCTGTGTGTTGGCTGGACTTGTGACTACCTGGGACTCTTGTCAATAGGGGGCACTACGTCGGCATCCACAGCTCCGGGTTCCGTGACTTTATCCTGAAGCCCGAGTGCCTGCGCGCTGTTGTGGACTGCGGGTTCGAGCACCCGTCCGAAGGTGTGTCGTGTGCAGGTGGCGATTGCACAACGACTGTGGATTAGCTGCTGACGGCCACGCGGCTGTTGCTTTTGCGTGCTATTGTTGTTGCTCTATGTATACACAGTCCAGCACGAGTGCATTCCTCAGGCTGTGCTCGGCATGGACATTATTTGCCAGGCCAAGTCGGGTATGGGAAAGACGGCGGTGTTTGTGCTTGCCACATTGCACCAGGTATGACGCTGGCTCTCTGCCGTGTGGCGCATCTTGTTGTGCACGTGTACTTACGGTCGTGTCTTGTCTGTTGTTTCTTGCGTTTCAGATTGAGCCCGTGGACGGTCAGATCAGTGTCGTTGTGATGTGCCATACGCGCGAACTGGCTTTCCAGATTGCTCACGAGTACGAGCGTTTCAGCAAATACCTAGTGGATGTCAAGACGGGGGTGTTTTACGGTGGTACGTCACGTGCAGTGTGGGCGATTGTGCTGAGATGGGTCAGTAATCATGTGTGCATCGATTGCGACAGGTGTGCCGATTTCGCAAAACCGCGAGGCGCTGAAGAACAACCCGCCGCATATTCTCGTGGGTACTCCGGGCCGTATCCTGGGTCTTCTGCGTGAAAAAACGCTGAAGCTGGACAAGGTCAAGCACTTTGTTATGGACGAATGTGACAAGGTGCTCGAAGCTGTCGGTACGTCTTGCAACCACGTTGTGCAGTCAACAACGACGAAGCGCAATACTGACTAACGCGTCGTCGTCAATGCTCGAACAGACATGCGTCGCGACATCCAGGAGATCTTCAAGGCGACCCCGCACGACAAGCAAGTAATGATGTTTTCTGCTACTTTGAGCAAGGAGATCCGTCCAGTGTGCCGCAAGTTCTGCCAGGACGTACGTTACATCTACCCGACGAACAAATGCGACGGTCGCTGTGCTGTGTCTTACTGAACGCTGTGCGAATTGCTTCTGCTGCACAGCCGATGGAGATCTACGTCGACGACGAGACGAAGCTGACGTTGCACGGTCTGCAGCAGTACTACATCAAGCTGGATGAGTCTGAAAAGAACCGCAAGCTGAACGACCTGCTGGACGCGCTCGAGTTCAACCAGGTGGTGATTTTCGTGTCGAAGAAGAACCGTGGACGGGAGCTGAACCGTCTGTTGAACGAGTGCAACTTCCCGTCGATTTGCATCACCGCCGACCTGTCGCAGGACGAGCGTATCAAGCGGTACAAAAGCTTCAAGGATTTCCAGAAGCGTATCCTGGTAACGACGGACCTGTTCGGTCGTGGTATGGATATCGAGCGCGTGAACATTGTCGTCAACTACGATTTCCCGAACGACAGCGACCAGTACCTTCACCGCGTGGGCCGTGCCGGCCGTTTCGGTACCAAGGGTCTGTCGATTAGTTTCATCTCGTCTGAAGAGGACACGGAGATGCTGGCTAAGGTGCAGTCGCGTTTCGAGGTGAACATCCCAGAGCTTCCAGACCAGATCGACATCTCGACGTACATGACCACTTAGGCGAGCAGTTTGGCGTACAAAGGGAACGATGATAGAGGATGGAGGGTCAAAACAAGCAAGCGCCTCGGTGCTAAACCATCCAACCCCACTACTCAACGTGTGCGAGCTCCATTGCTGGACAAAGCCGCTGCTTCGTGGCCGAATGAATATATTCAAAGTGAGACTGCGGATGACGCTGTACGACTCGGCTCGCGCTGTTTCTGCTGGCGTCGTCGCAAGCCGCCGGTTCGGGTGTTACTCTTTTCTCCGTCTTCGCTTCGTCGACCCGTCGATATCCTTCATGCCGCCGAGGCGGCTCTTGTACTTTTCGCGGATGCCGTCGTCGCAGGCCCACAGCGAGTCCCGGCGTGACGTGTCTTGGTCCGCCAGATGCGTGTACTTGGTGCTGCGAAAGGAGACAACAACAAACAGGCAGACACACGACAACATGCTTGCGTCGGAGAGGGCCGCACACTACAAGTTGCAACACACCAGCTCCGTACCGGCCAGCGCGACCAAAGTTTTTGACTTGCATCACGGCAGGGAGCATCTCCTTGTCGAACTTGTCCTCGAGCGTGGCTTCCGTGGCGTCTCGCTTGCGCACGTCGTCCTTCGAGCGAATGCTGTCGTCGTCCACGTAGAAAGCGCCTTTGTGGTAGTACTTTTGCATGAACTTGAGCTTTTTCTTCTCTTTTGGCTCGTGCTTTTTCAGTTTGCTGCAGCAAAGAGAGTGAGAGAGAGAGAACCCACGTGAGACACCGCAATACACAGTAGCGCTGTCATTCCATCCACATCCGATATAATCCATTACAGCAACGTACGCATCTTCTGCAGCACGCGCTTCCTCCGACATGTTGCGCCGCCTCAGCGTTTCACTCTCCTCCTTTCTGCGCTGCTGTTTCCGGTCGCGATCACTGCAGGCAGGTCGAACATGGACACAACGTCAGTCAATCAGTCCGTCCGTCATCGACTACGCACAACTGATTCCACCGCCACAAGTTACACACCGTTTGATTCGCCGCATTTCGCGCAGCTCCCAGTCGCGGTACTCCTGCGCCGGGTCCAGGCCGTCCGCATCGTCCGGCATCTCTCCATTCGTCTCGTCACACTTGCTGGCTGTATCCTGCTCGCGTCGGAGCTCTTCAGCGACCATGCGACGCGACTCCATCTTACGTGCCTCGAGCTTCTCCAACTCGCGCTTCTCTCGTCGCTCTTCTTCCGCTGCAAGTTCGTCCTGACTCTTCAACGTACCCCGAGCTTTCTTGGGCACGAAAATGGGCTTCATGAGCTCTTCACCGGGCTCCGACTCGTCCGTGTCGGTCTCATACTCCGAGCTCGAACTGCCACTCGACGCAGAGTGGTCGTCTTGCGTCCCAGCCACTGGGGCTACTGCTACACTCTGCTTGACAACCTGAGCTTCCACGTACTGCCGCTTGCCCCGTTCCTCCATCTCTGCAGGTCCACTCTTTTCTTTGCTCTGGTCACAACGAGACTTTGCCTTGCTGCGCAGTAAGCGGCGACGACGGTCAATGTCCGAGTCCTCTTCTTCATCCGAGCTCGAATCCTGCAGGGCCTTGGCCACGTCTTGCCCACTCGCTCCATCCTCCTCCTCATCCCGCAAGGCCCGTTCTGTCTCGTTCACGTCTGTTTTGCCCTTTGTGTTCCCCGACGAACATCGCACCACCTCTGCCTCTACGCGTTTGCGGCCACGTTGAAGCACTGGACCCGTCTTGATCGGCGCTTTGGCCGTCGGCACCACTCGTCGCACTTGCCGACTCGCCGTCACAAAGCCACGTTCCTCTTCGTACCCGTGCGCGAACTTGGGCACTTGGCCGGCCCGATACCGCGCGACCTTCACGGACGGATCGACTTTGGGCTTCAGTGGCTTGAACACCTCAGTCTCTTCTCTATAGACATCCACAGCAAACGACAGCAAACGACAGCAAACGAGTGGAAAGGTGAGCACGTGGAAACGAGCGAGAAAGTCACGCAGAGCAGCGAGCGGTGACGTCAGTGTACCTGGTGTTGGTGTAACGCAGCGACACGGGGTCGCCCGGGACGTCGTCCGGCAGCAGCAGCCCCAGGTCCTTCTTGGTGAAGAGCGCCATGCTGGACGCTTTGTCTGCACTATATTGTCGTGCGACAAGTGACGGAATGAAATCGATGTCTTCCAATATATATATTGACAATTAATCTCTGATGCGACAATTGGGAAACTCGTGATGCCCATTGCGTTTTAACAGCGAAAACAAAAAAGCTGGTGCGCTTTTACTCGATGGGCTGTCCACGTTTCTGCATATCCATGTTAAAACGGATATATGCACAGCCGGACCGTGCTGATACGCACGCTTCGATTTAGAAATGGCCTCACCAACCCTCGCACCGCGGCTCACACGCGCGCGTGCTGCACCCGGTCACGCGACGGCCCATGTCGCGGACGCTCTACCTCCGTCCGCTGCTGCTGCCGCCGCCGCTGTGGAAAAGCTGCGGCGCGCGTGTCAAGAGCTGCAGCTGTCGAACCTGCCGCGCGTGATGACCGGACGGGAAGACGAGCGGGACGAGATATACGCCGCGCTGCGCTCGTCGATCGAGCACCAGAGCGCCGGTGGGCCCATCTACATCAGCGGTCTGCCTGGGGCCGGCAAGACGTCGATCGTGAAGGAAGTGGTCCACACACTCGAGTCAGAGCGCGATGCCGGCAGACTGCGCAACTTTGCGTGGGTCGAGGTCAATGGTCTGCAGATGCCGCGGCCGGACGTGGCGTACAGCATCTTGTGGAAGGCGTTGCAGCCACGAGAAGAAGAAGAAGAAGAAGAGGACAAGGACGACAAGGACGCACGCGGTGTGCGGAGAGCTATAAGCGCCGCGCGTCTGTGTGATCTGCTGCAGCGCGAGTTCCACACGGCGCGTGCGGCGCGTCCCATGCTGCTCGTGCTGCTGGACGAGATGGACTTTATGCTGGCGGGCAAGAACCAGGTGCTGTACAACCTGCTCGAGTGGCAAACGGCGGCCACGGCCAAGCTCGTGATCGTCGGCATTGCCAACACAATGGACTTGCCCGAGCGCCTGCCCAGCAAGATCCGCAGTCGACTCGGCGGCCATCGCATCACGTTCCCCGCGTACACGCGCGCGCAGCTCGAGACCATTATCCAGCAGCGGCTACTCGCGCTGGACATTTTCAGTCCCGAGGCCATCCAGATCTGTGCCAAGTCGCTCGCGCACCAGTCGGGGGACGTGCGGCAGGCCCTCACGCTCTGCCGCAAGTCGGCAGAGGTGTGTCTGCACCGCGTTGCGGCCATGGCCGGTCAGGCAACTCGGGACGGTCGACGCGAGCTCTTTGTGACGAGCGACGACTTGCACGAGGCGCAGCAGGCCGTGGCACTGTCGGCGCCCATGAGCCGACTGCGCGCGTGCAGTAAGTTCGAGTGCACGTTCTTAGTGGCGCTCCGCATGGAAGTGCGGTCGACGGCGGCGCGTACGAGCACGAGAAGCGGCGCGGAGCTCGAAGCTGTGATCGAGCGCTTTGCGATCCTGTGCAAGACGCACGCGTTCGTGCCGGTCCCGCGACTGCGCGGACTGCTCTTCATCTGCGACGAACTGGAGCGCTCGGGCGTGATCAAGCAGCTGGCCACGCGCACGTCGCGCTACCCTTTGCTGGAGCTGCAGTGCTCGCACCAGGAGCTGCAAGACGTGTTCCTCACGCACCCCATCGGTAGGCAGCTGATTACATAGACTGACTGACTGACTGGTGGGGACGGACGACTGCTACAGTACGATGATATGACTCTGCACGAACGTGGCCAACGGCTGAAACAGAGACGATGCAATGGAGCAGAAGAACGGAACGAACGGCAGATGCGATGCTGTGTACTGTGCAAAACCGGCAGACGCACACCGAGAGGATGATCGCTCTCGTCCAGACAAGAAGGGGAAGACCGCAACTCCACAGGTGACGGAAGAAGCAGTGCGCTTAGTGCAGAAGTGGACGTTGCACCGACACTTGACGATTGCTCGTCTTGTCAAGGACCGACTGAGTCGGAATCACGCGCTCGCGTCGGTTTCATTTCGTTTCGATCCTCGTGCCAACTTTCACTTCCTTTCTACCTACGTACCGACCTGCCTACCATCCTACCTGCCTGCATTCAGTCACAAGCCCCTCCCAATATCCACGACACGATAGAAATTCTTTAGAAACGGGTGGTGTTGAAAAACACCAGTGAATGAGCGGGAGAAGCGCTCGTCGCTTTGTAGCAAACGGCCCGAACTTGCGCGTGCACACCGTGCGCCACTGCTGCCCGCGCGTTGCGCCGACGTTCGCTGTCGACACGACAGCTATACGTCTTGTCGACACGGCAGCTGCTTGCTTAGCCGCCAAAGCCGTACAACGTGCGGCCCTGGCGCTTGAGCGCGTACACCACGTCCATGGCCGTCACGGTCTTACGACGGGCGTGTTCCGTGTACGTGACCGAGTCGCGGATCACGTTCTCGAGGAACACCTTCAGCACGCCGCGCGTCTCTTCGTAGATGAGGCCGGAAATGCGCTTCACGCCGCCACGACGGGCGAGACGACGGATCGCAGGCTTCGTGATGCCCTGGATGTTGTCGCGGAGGACCTTGCGATGGCGCTTGGCGCCGCCTTTGCCCAGTCCTTTGCCGCCTTTGCCGCGTCCAGACATGATGATCGAGCGTCAAACAGGGCGTCGGTCGAGAGGAGTTGCAGTCGATGGGGAGACCGCAGTGGAAATTGAGGAATGAATGAGTGGGCAGTGACACGGCAGCAGCAACAGCAGCGGCCGGTGAGGCCGCACACAGGCGACGACCTCACGCCCCGTGCGCGCGAATGAGTGAAGGCGCGCGCGACCCTAGCCCGCGCGCGCGTTGATTTAGCTGGGCGAGTCTGCTTCGAAGCCGTTGATTGGTCGGTTTCGTATCCGCCGCTCGCCGTCGATTGTCATTGGCGGAACGTCCGCTCGAGACTGGCGCGAAGAGCGCGCGACGCGCCCCACGAGTCCATCGATCGACTCGTTTGCTGTTCATTCTCCAATTCTCTCTCACGTCCGCAGACTGGAGGAGCACATACAAAGAAGAAGAGAAAGCAGCAGCAGCAGCAGCAGCAGACAATGGCTCGTACGAAACAGACTGCCCGCAAGTCGACCGGCGGCAAGGCCCCGCGCAAGCAGCTCGCAACGAAAGCCGCGCGCAAGTCGGCCCCAGCTACTGGCGGCGTGAAGAAGCCGCACCGGTACCGTCCGGGTACGGTCGCGCTGCGTGAGATCCGTCGGTACCAGAAGTCGACGGAGCTGTTGATCCGCAAGTTGCCGTTCCAGCGTCTGGTGCGTGAGATCGCGCAGGACTTCAAGACGGACCTGCGCTTCCAGGGCTCAGCTGTGCTGGCGCTGCAAGAGGCCGCCGAGGCGTACCTCGTGGGTCTGTTCGAGGACACGAACCTGTGCGCGATCCACGCAAAGCGCGTGACGATCATGCCCAAGGACATTCAGCTGGCGCGCCGCATCCGTGGAGAGCGCTCGTAAGCGGCGGTCTGCAGCTGCCGCTCGTTGCGGCCGAGAAGCGGTCTCGGAGGCTGAACTCGGGGCACGTGCCACACACTCGCAGAGAGAGATTGTGTGTGTGTCTCTCTCTGGTGGCCTCGTGGTCGATACGACCAATCTGGTGTTTTTTAACACCACCCATTTCGAAAGAAGACGTGTCGTATACAGCAGAAGGGGTAGTAGTGCTACTAGTGGCAGTGCTACTAGTTGTAGCACTAGTTGTAGCACTAGTAGTCGCAGGACTGTAGCATCGGTTGAGTTTTGTTGTTCCGAGAGGTGCATAACTGAATGCTCGAAGCTGCGTCTGTATGCACAGACAGACGTCTGCGTTAGTGTGCGCCGGCTGCGCTTGCGAGCCTCGAGGTGCCTTTAAACAGCTTGTAGAAGAGCCGAGTGTATACAGAGCAGACGTAGTCATAGAGGTTGCGTGACTCACCTGAACGCGACTTGATGTGCGACTTATTCAGCATCTTCGTTTCTTCTGCATGGAGAAACAGCAAGTACGACACTCTGTTTGCAGGCAGACGGCGGCAGCGGCCCTTTGCCATCTCCAACACCTCATCTCATTCGATATCAGACGACTGACGCGACTTGTCGAAGCATGGCTCATTATGGTAGTCACTACCGGGCGCAAAGTAGAGTTCACGTCGTCACGTGATGGTCGATCGTTGTAATTGGGTACTTGCGCGGCATCCGACGTATGTCAAGATGCCGTGCCATTCATCGACTTGCGCGAGAGATCAGTTCTTCCGATACACTCCAGCGCATTCACAAATGATAACTACGAACGAACAACGTGTCTTTGCTCTCGACGTGAGGACAGACATGCAGAGGAATGGCTCATCAATATCGTTACCCACTTATGCTGTCATGCGCAAGACGCTACTCTCTCCGTCGTGTCGACCACACCTTCTGGCTGCGAATCTGTCAACACGCGCCATTGTAGTCTGCACGAAGAAGTCGGCAGTCTCGGGCCAAGTCACTGCACCGACCCGAGACTCACCCCACCGCCCATTTCACACCAGGACGATCGATCAGCCCCTGCCGTGACAGCTAGTGGTTCCGACTCGCGGTGGCTGAATGGCAGCGGACGCTGACCTCGATCGCTCTTTCGCTCCCTCGGCTTCTTGTCGAAGCTCTGCCAATCCACCCACACCCACCCACGCATCTATTCACTACCAGACACCACCTCCTACTCAGCACGTGCACTTCTTGTCGAACGGGTGGTGTTGAAAAACACCAGTGGACAGAGCATGGCGACCTGCGACCGCGACTGTCGCTGCTGCTATTGCTCGCGCACGCAACGGCAGTCGCTCAACAGCTGTCGACACGCCTGGAAAACGCCTAAGCGGACGTGAACTTCGTCACGGCCTTCGTGCCTTCCGACACGGCGTGCTTGGCCAACTCGCCCGGCAGCATCAGGCGCACGGCCGTCTGGATCTCGCGACTCGACAGCGTCGACTTCTTGTTGTAGCGCGAGAGTTTGCCCGCCTCCGACGCAATGCGCTCGAAAATGTCGTTGATGAACGAGTTCATGATCGACATCCCGCGCTTACTGATGCCCGTCTCGGGGTGCACCTGACGCAGCACTTTGTAGATGTACGTCGAGTACGACTCGACGCGCTTCTTGCCGCGGCCTTTGCCCGACTTGGCCACAACCTTTGCAGCCTTCTTCGACGGAGTCTTTGCCATTGCTGCAATCGGACGAGAAAGAGTTGTGGCGGTAGTGGTTGTGGTAGTAGTAGTAGTAGCAGTTGCAGTAGCGGGAGAACTTGCACTGCACGAGCGAAATCAGGGAATGAACACCGCGAGGACGAAGAAGGCGAGGAAGACGAAGACGAGGGACCGCGACGACCTCTGCGGTTCCCGCGCGTCGCTCGAGAGGCGACGAGGAAGAACCGGTGCTGTTGAGGTGGCTCGCGGCGCAGGGCTTGTCGCGTCGGAGCGCTTTGCGTGTCGTGATTGGTGGAATCGCACGTCTGGACGGTCGATTGGTGGATCGAGCGCGCGCTTGCTCGCTCGCTCGCGTTTTCACTCGACACCCACACAAGATAGCCGTCGCGCAGAGCCGGAGGATCCTAAACTAGGACGGGGTGGGGACTCTATCATACCGGTATTTCGCTCGACCACCCGCCGGTATCCGACGCCACGCGGCTCCTACTACTGCCTGAGGTCGACAAATCCAAGCGAACGACTGCGATGGCGACGCAGGACACGTACAACGGCAGCGGCGGCACGGGCGACTCGGGCCGCAGTCGATCCACGATGACGATCTCGTCCGTCATGGCCGACATCAAGGAGAAGTTCAAGAACGACGAAGAGGACCAGGGTACGACGCTTGACGCGCTGTCGCTCGTGGGGCGTGGATCCCGAGGGACGGCGTCCCGCTTTATCGATTTACTGCCTGGATACCGCGTGATACTGACTGGTTGTTTGTATGTATACTGTGCTTGGCCTCGGATCCTGTGTATACGCTTCGGTCGATCTGCCAGTGTCGCCGTTCCAGGGGCTGGACAAGGCCACAGTGCTGCAGGAGACCAAGATCTTTTCCGACGCGACGACCGTGACGCGTCACCCGAAGAAATGCTGTCAGCTGATTACCAAGCTGCTGCACATCCTGACGCAGGGAGAGCCGTTCACCAGTGCCGAGACGACGGCGGTCTTTTTTGGCGTCACGAAGCTCTTTCAGTCGAAAGATGCGAATCTACGTCGTATGATGTATTTGTTTATCAAGGAAGTGGCCGAGGCCACTGCTGCCGATGAGGTAGGGACTGCCCCACTGGACGGGTTGTGGTGGTGTGAGGCGGGGGTACACGAGACAATGAGGCGCTGACAGACGTGTTGTTGTTGCTGAAATTGGTGATCGGTATCAGGTGATCATTGTGACCCAGAGTCTGACGAAGGATATGAGCTCTGACGTCGATCTGTACCGTGCAAATGCGATTCGAGTGCTTTGCCGGATCATTGACGTACGTATATCGCTACACGTGGTAGTGTGTTGGCTGCAGCGACTGACCGTAATGGAATGCTGTGGGATGCAATGGGTATACAGGGCTCCATGTTGAACGCGATCGAGCGTTACATCAAGCAGGCAATCGTGGACCGTAATGCACTCGTTGCCAGCTCGGCATTGGTGTCTGGTATCCACTTGATCAAAAGCAACCCAGAGATCGTGCGGCGCTGGGTGAACGAGGTGCAAGAGGCCGTGAATTCGACGCACGATATGGTCCAATACCACGGCGTTTCGCTCCTGTACCAGATCCGCCAGCACGATAAGCTCGCTGTGTCAAAGTTTATTGTGCAGCTGCAGAAGACCAATCTGCGCTCGAACCTTGCAACGTGCTTGCTGATCCGTTACACGGCAGCCCTGTTGCGTGAAAGCACAAACGGACAGGACACCACGCCGCTGTACGGATTTCTGCAAAAGATGCTCCGTCAGAAGAACGAGGTACGGATTGGTGATCTGCAGCGGTTTCGACTGCCACTGATGCATCTTCCTGGTGCTCATTCTTGATGTTGCTGTTTGTCTTGGTGTGCTAGATGGTCATTTACGAGGCTGCCAAGGCGCTGTGCGCTCTGCCTGTGGATGCGCGTGACTTGACACAAGCAATCGTCGTGCTACAGTTGTTCTTGGGGTCGTCAAAGCCTACTCTTCGTTTCGCTGCTGTGCGGACACTCAGCCAAGTGGCGCTGGCGCAGCCTATGCTGATAACACGCTGCAATGAGGACATGGAGACGCTTATTTCGGACTCCAATCGTTCCATTGCGACTCTGGCGATCACCACGCTCTTGAAGACTGGTAGGTATTGGAGACACGGCTACAATCACCGTTTCTACCGCTCAACAAACGACGCTCATATTTGCTGTGAATCTGGTTGCAACAGGTGCCGAATCGAGCGTGGATCGATTGATGAAGCAAATCTCGACGTTTATGGGTGACATCGCTGACGAGTTCAAGATCGTCGTGGTGGAGGCGATCAAGAACTTGTGCTTGAAGTACCCTCAGAAACACCGCATTTTGCTGAACTTTCTGGCCAATTTCCTCCGCGAGGAAGGTGGGTATGAGTTCAAGAAGACGATTACAGACGCCATTCTGTTCCTGATTGACCGCATCCAAGAGTGCAAAGAGACCGCGCTACTCCACTTGTGCGAGTTCATCGAGGACTGTGAGTTTGCACAGCTATCTACAAAGATCTTGCGCGTACTGGGGCAGAAAGGTCCCACCACGTCAGCACCTGCACGGTACATCCGTTTCATCCGCAACCGCGTCATTCTTGAAAATGCCCCTGTGCGCGCATCAGCCGTTTCAGCGTTGGCCCAGTTTGCCATTCGAGTGAGCTCGCTCCGTTCTAGTGTATCATCTCTACTGCAGTGCTGCAAACTTGATGACGACGACGAAGTCCGCGATCGTGCCACGATGTATCTTGCCGTCCTAGAAGGCGATGAGACGACCAGCCGCAACCTCCTTGTTGATGACTTTCCGATGAGTGTGGCGGCGCTTCAGAAGTCGATCGATCAGTACGAGCTGCGCCCTGCTGATGGTCCGCTTACCTTTGAGACACTGCCTCACGTCGAAGTCGTTGAAGATGACACCGAGACGAATACAGACAGCGCGGAGACTGACAATGGCGCTGTCCAGGCCGACGCTGCTCCTGAGCCTCAAGATCTTGCGAAGGAACTGTATACGGTACGTTTGCTGGCTTTTGTGCACCTTCCCGAGGCTCAGACTTGCGCTTTGCTGCTACTCAACTGCTATAGATTCCCGAGTTTGCCGAGCTGGGTGCGCTTTTCCGCTCATCCAAGCGTCTCGAATTGACGGAAGCCGAGACGGAATACGTCGTCAGTTGCACGAAGCACGTGTTTCCCCAGCACATTGTACTCCAGGTGCGGAACTGTGTGCGCAACATCTACTTATCGAGACTAGGCTCTGTTCTGACGCTGCTCTGCTTGTCGTAACAGTACAAGGTGCTGAACACGGTGAGCGACCAGCTTCTCACGAACGTGAGCATCGGCTTCGTCATGGAGCCTGACGACATTTGGCAGGTGCACTCTGTTGTCTCCCTGGACAAACTGGCCTACGGGAAGACGGGCTCGTGCTACGTCTGCTTGCAGTACATCGGAGACGGCGTTTACCCCATCGTGCAACTCGCCAACGTCGAGGTATGTTGTAATGTGGGTTCGAGTCTACGTTTCTGTCGTTTCGCTAGTACTCACTCTACTCCTTGTCTGCGTTGCGTAGTTGAAGTTCAAGGTGCACGAAGTGAACCCGTCGTCCGGCGAGGTCGAAGACGATGGCTTTGATGAGGAGTACCCGATGGAAGACATCGACATTAGCGCGTCGGACCTGATGGCCAAGATCTCCGTGAATGACTTCCGCTCGGCTTGGGAGCGTATCGGCGACAGTGCCGAGGTGAAGGGCAGTTACGGCCTGAAGTACAAGAGCATCGTGGAGGGCGTGGCAGCAGTCATCGAAAACCTCGGCATGCAGCCTTGTGAGAACACGGCCGTGCCACAGCCAAAGGCCAAGGCACACATTCTTCTGTTGTCAGGCGTGTTTGTTGGTGGCCTGAAGGCGCTGGTGAAGTCAAGAATATCGCTGGATGAACAGGGCGGCGGCATGATTCTGCAGGTGTGTGTTGCGTTGTGTGTTGTTCGCCCCTTGTCGCTCGTTTCTTACTGTGTTGATGTGTGCAGATGGCCGTGCGTTCGGAGGCGGAAGAAATCAGTCAAACCATCATGGACTGCATTAGATAAAAGGCTGCTCTCATCGTTGACAATACCCGGCGATCAGCTCCTCTAGCAAGCAAACTCGCGGTGCAGCTCATGGGACGGACATTTGCGAGCGTCGTGACGAGTGGAGCGTGAAAACAAGAGTAGCAGCACGATAAGTGTCGACACTTGCGATCACGCACTTTCGATATCAACAAGTAGGACATTGTGGTTTATGTACGCGTAGTTGCTGCCTGCGATCGCGTGGAAACGTCCAGGAGGCCCTCGGACCACAGACGGAGGAGCATGCCGCGCACTGCTGTCTCATCGCTGTTTGCTTCCACCAACTCGTCGATGGGCACGCCATGCCCGGCGGAAGCGGACGACGAGTACAGCTTCATAAGTGCAGCTGCAAGCTCTCCCGGAAACACAATGCTTTTCGGCTGAGCAGGCATTTGCCCGAAAGCTGCGCTCGGGTCATCTTCCTCTTCGCTGTCGCCATGACCATCCTGATCTCCGTCGGCACTACTGGCTTCTGCATCCCCGTCATCACTATTCTCCTCGCAATCCTCGTCTTCCTCCTGACCGTTGCATGTGCAAAAGCCCATGTGGTGCCGCCTGCAATTGTGCTGCGAGTAGTAGACCGCAACAAAAGCCTCTTTCGTCTCGTCCTCGCCCATCGACAAGCGAATATGCGAGCGGTTTTTGAAGCATAGAACGACATTGTCGTCGAGCGGGCTAAGGCCTGCCTCGTCATTCTCCTTTGTCCCTGGTGGCGGAAGTCGGTTGGCCAATACGTCCAACGCAGCCTCGTCAGCAGCCTGCTGCAAGTCCTTTTCGTCGACGTGTGCAGCAAGCCGACCTACCAGTTTCTTGCATGATGCTGTAAAGTCCTTCGCCTTCGCCGAGTCGGTCGGAAACTGCGTTCCCATGTAGCTGAGGTACTTCATCGGCAATCCCTGACGGAATGCAATGTCCGAGTCAAACGCTTGACGAATGACGCGGGGCAGCGCGACCTCCAAGAAATTAGCCCACGTGTTGTGCTGGTACACCGAGATGGTCACGTGCGTGGAGAACTCCTTCTCGTCGGTACACGCTTGGTGTACAACACCACGTGGAAAGTACAGCACGTCACCTTCTTCGACGGTCAGTTGCATCCATGGCTCACCGATCTGGTCGACAGCAAGATCCGAGCTGTGCTCCCCTGCGAGTTCGACCAGTGGACGGTACAGCTGCCACTTTTTTCGACCCTGCGTTTGCAGCACAAACACTTCCACGTCATCGTAATGCGGTGCCAACGCCTGTGCGTTCGCCGGCGTCAAGTACGCGCTAGCACCTGCCAGACCACCAAACACCTCCTCAAAGGCTGCATTGATCGCGTACAGTCCATCCGTATACCGCTGCGGCTGGTAGAACTGGCAGCTAAAGCCACTGTCCAGCAGCCGATCTACCTCTTGACTGGTTGCGCTTCCATCACCGCCTGCACAGTCAAAGTCCTCACGCTGCGAGTTGACGTATCGACAGACCGTTAGGTCTTTGCCAACCTTCAGACTCGGTGACTCCTTCTCCAGGACCTCGAGCAGCTGATTGCGTGAAAACAGACCGTCCGCAAACAGTTCGCTCTTTTCAGCCGCGCGGACGTGCAGCGGTCTCTTCTCAAAGTACTCGGACTGAAACGTCTCCATACACATACCGCCCAAGAGCTTCGTCAGTGTGCGCTCTGCCTCCTGTCGGCTCTCCTGTTCACTATAAACCGCCACATCCGCTGTCGTCGACGCTTCTTCTGCACTCTGCGCCTTCTGCTGCTTCTTCTCAGGTCCAACGAGAGCGCTGTCGGCGCTGCGCTTGACACGGCGCGCGCTCTTTCGCGTCCGACTCATTTGCTGCCAGCCAATTGATTGCCCGATGAGGCACGCGGTGTGCTGAAGTAGTGTGGTGCACACACTTCACGCGTCCGAATCTAGTGTGGTACACAGCGTCGCAGTCGCGAGATGGTGAGATAGCGCGAGCGCATGTCCTCATGGCGAACGGGAGCCACCGAGCAAACGACACTTACTCCTCCCCTGCGGTCGCTCGACTCACGGACAGTAGTAGCGACAGCGTCGTCTCTCGGTACGCCCATGTTGCAGACCTTCTGACCGTCGGCTGCGCGTCTACGTATACTAATTGTGTGTCCCTCCTTTGCCCGCAGGAAGATGGCGAGCGGCGGGTCCACGACGGCACCAATAGAAGAGACGTACAGCGATGCCGAGCTGCAGATCGTGCGCGTCAAACTTGACATCATCCGCGCGAGGATGGGCGCGGCATTGGAGCTGATTCCAGCTGGTCGCGAGTATGACACGCCGCCTGATGCGCGGGACGACGCTGTGCAGCCGAACGCGCTGGAGAAGAGTATAGATGAGACGTTCGTGGGGCCTTTAGTGACGCAGTTGACGTCCGTGAACGAAAACGAGGCGCTTGCACAGCACAAGGACACGATGGGGTACGACTACTGATGAGACTGGATTGCCATTTGCTCGCTGCTGAAGTCGCAACGGCTTTCGCATCGAGTTGTTGACCAGTTGTTTACCAGTTGTTCACCATTCGTTGTTGTTGTTGTTGTTTTTGTTGTTGTTGTTTGTTGTTGAAACATGTAGATCTGGAGACAGCAAGCAGAAGATGGATGTGTTAAGTCGAAACGGCCGGTCGCTGATGAAGGTTGGTCGGGCAAGGGTCTGGTGGTGACGTAAAAAGGGGCTGACGCGTGTTGACGTCTGGTGTTTACGTTCTGACAGAGTGGACACAACGACGGACATGCTGCGTGAGTTGCTGTTTCCATCGAGACACAAGTCGAGCGTAAACGCGTATCGGTGTGCAGATGTGTCTGACTGCATTTGCATGATGTTGGTTCGCAGACAAGCTGAGACGATGAAGAATATGGGCGTTTCATCGACGGAACAGCGTGTGGTCACCCGTGATCAGCAGAAGGCGGCGGACATGCACTTGAAAGGTCGTTTGGTTGTGAAAAATGAAGGCGATACGGCGAGTCAACATGTGGCGAGTTCGACCGCTATGACAATGGGTTCAGACTCGAAAGGAGAAGGACCGATCTGCAGTGGTGGAAACCAGGTCTCGACATCGGCACAAGTTACGACAGGTGCGACCCCATTGCAGTCGCCAGTGTCAGCGCGTAATCGAACGTCGAGCGAGGACGGCTTCGTTTCGACCCCTGAAGCTAGGAAAGAATCACGCGACAAGGCGATGAAGCCTGAGCCCGTTGAGGAAACCAGGATAGAGCGCGCCGACCATCTCTCTCTCAATCACTTTCTCATATCAGAACTCGAGGTGTATTGCTCTCGTTTGCTGCGAAGAAAGTGCCCCAAGAAAGAGTCGTCGAATGTAAGTGACCTCGCACGGGTCACAGGTATGCAGCTCTATCTCGATCACCAACGAGGTCTCATGGACTTCGATGATGAATGGAAAAGGTGGCACTGTCAGCAGCATTTGGTCTTGCGGCAGCAACGATTTTTTCGTTTTCTGACACGTGCTTGCTTACAGGTCTCATGCGAGCTGTTGTCGAGGTCATGCTGGAACGACTCCTGTCAAAGAACTTGTAGTAGCACCAGCAAACATCTACACGAACCCATTTCAACACGACGCAGCCAATGTCGTTGATGCGAACGGCTGGGCGATGCTGTTGAGTCAAGTGAGAGCTTCCAGTACGAAGTCAACACCAGCGGGGACTTCATATACACGAGATGTGGGCGTCCGAGAAGGCATGGAGGATCTGTCAGCGGCGTACATGCGAGGATCAAATGGAATAATTGTTGGTAGCGACGACCGCCAGAAGGAGCGACTTCAGGTAGGTTGACACAAGTGCGAAAGGGATAAGTCGTCGCGTATCTAAGGCTGTTGCGCGTGCTGTTTGTGTATAGATCAGTGCATTCATGGCCCAGATCCCATCAAGCCAAAGCACTTCGGCACTGTACGTCGTTGTGGCTGCCGGTTCTGACCTCGCCCGTTGGGAAGCAGCATTATCTTCCGAGCAGCTTGTCCAATTGTACCCATATTGGGGAAGCAAGCAAGACCGCCAAAACTTACTTCAGTTGCTGAGCAACGGGTACTTTTCTAGCCGCAATCTGTGGGCACACGTACTTCTCACCAGCTACGAAGCCTTCATGGAAGACATCTCGATTGTGACCTCACTACACTGTCAGCTCAGCGTTATTGACATTCCACGGCATGCTACTGATCAGATTGCGTCGATTTGGCCACAATTGCTTTCGCTTCGGTGTCGCCAACGCATGTTGCTCTGTCACCCCGGGTTTGCCGTTGACGCACGCAAGTTGTTGCAGTTCCTGGTGCCTGAGTTGTTTGGTTCACGACGGAGGCTGCTGGTACGCTATCGTGCACGTACTTGCGAGAAGTCTTTGGATTCACTGACAAGCGATGTTATATGTACCCATGGTAGGCGTGGAACTGTGCAGCCTTTCGCGCCGATCAAGTTGGCGTGTTATGTGGCGTGGTCAAGGCGCTCACAGTTATCTCGAATGAGGATGCACGCACTACGTTCATGCTAAAAGTAGCAGCTCGCACTGCGCAAAGCTGCGAGCGCGAAGCGGCTGCTTTGAATATGTTGAATAAGCAAGGAATTGTGAGGGCAACACAACGATCAATAATGGTGCCTGTGAAGCGCGTACTGAGCAAAAAGTCGCGAAGTCGTGCTAGTGGACACATCCCGGCAGAGGTGAGAGACAGAAGCTGTTCTTTGTTCATGTAGATATACTCGATGGTGACACATTGCATGGTTGTTCTGATGCTAGGGAAAAGTCGACCCGCTAAGGGTTGCCTTCAATCCAGTCGATTCGCAGCTTGCAGTCAATGCTGCAAGCGCGCATCAAAAAACCCGCAGTGGAGGCGATGTGACACCTGGCTCCCGACAGCGGATAGGTCGATGCGGAACTTGTGCTGGTTGTTTGGCTGAGGACTGCATGAAATGTGGACACTGTCAGGACATGAAAAAATACGGTGGACCAGGTCTCCGCAAACAGTCTTGCAAACATCGCAAGTGCCTCAACCCAAAGATATGGGGATTGGCTTCCAGAAAGAGGAAGCGCAAGCCAAAGCGCACTGCTGGTACGAACAGTGCAGTAAAGGAAAGCTCGGAGGTTGACGATGACTTTTCGGTCGCATACTCTTCTGTGGAAAGTGACGGGGAGTCTTTATCGGTTACGACGCACGAGAACGGTGGTTCGGATGATGAGTCACTTCGGTATTCGGACGCTCCGATCGATTCTCCCCGCGATCTATTGCTGCCGGCAAGCGACACCCTTGTGGACGACCATCTGTCTCTGGGCGACTTGAGTGCTCGATCTGCGTCGGCACGCTCGCGTATCATGCGATGTGGATTATGCGAAGGATGCCAGGCGCCGGACTGTTTGAAATGCCCGCACTGTCTTGACATGAAGAAATACGGAGGACCGGGACTCCGGAAGCAAACGTGCAAGATCCGCAAATGTAAGGCTCCCAAGGTTGTCAAGTTGAATCAGGCAAAGGGCGGTGACGACCAGTATGTGGATGAGATGGGGAACGTGGTGTACAGCAGTCTGAATGGCTGCACTTTTCCGGGGTTCTATGAAGCTTGTGACTCGTCGGATAGACCCGAGTCGACAATGATGTCACCAAGATGTAACAGCCAGCCGAGGGTGCTACCCGTTATCCAGGAATGCGAGCGCTATGTGAAACCACATCTGGCTTTTGCGTGTACGGATTGCGGTGCACGCTTCAGCTCAAGTAAGGTGCTGAGTTTTCACGCAAAGATTGAGCATCCTCCGTCAACATCAGGCCATCGCGTGCAAGTTCCGACGGCATTGGAGCGGGATGCGAGTCGGATGTTCGCGTGGCCGAGATACCAGAGTGCAATGATCAATGCTCAGCTCAAGCAGCACAACCGAGGAGCACACAGTCCACCCCTCGGGTATGCGAAGTTGGAGGTACGACCGTGTTTGCGGGGTTGACAGTATCGCATGAACTCACGGCACGTTCGTTTGTTTCCTTGCTGCAACACACAGGGCCGGAACTTGCAGTATTATTTCGTGGACCCGTTTGTCATCCTCGGCCGCATGACCTCGGGATGGTGCAAGCTATACAAGGATCTTGGCTTTGCAACCCTCGACGGTCTCGTTGGTGCCGACGTCGATTGCCACATCGGAGACGACCGCCAGATTGCAACTCGGCACGCTGTGATCTCGTGGGACGCTAGTCGTCGTGGCTTTGTGATCGAGTGTCTGAGCCTCCGCACGCCGATCACTGTAAACGGCCACGTGATGACTTTCTCGTCACCTCGAGTCACGCTGCACAGTCGAAACCTGGTGACGATTGGCGCAAGCGAATTCTACTTTCTCTTGCCGAAACAGACAGACGCAGACGCAGCAGCAGCAGCAACAACAACGACAGCCACAGCAGACGCAGTAGCAGCGACGTTGCGACCCGACGTCATTGAAGCAAGCTAAGCCTAGTGTTATCGCAAATGCCACGTTGAAGTGGATATCTCGTCGGTCTGTGGTGTAACAAGTGGCCCCGAGCAGATTATTGTGACCCCGAGCAGATTATTGTGGCCCCGAGCCGATTATTGTGACCCCGAGCAGGTTATTGTGATCCCGAGCAGGTTCTTTTCTTTTCTGCCAATCACAGCTCCGCGCCGACGACCGATCCGTGCAACTTCTGCGGGCCAGTGGTTGGCTGGCGATGTCGCTGCCCCGCCATTGACCAAGTGACCCGTCGGGCCTTCTCCCCCGCGAGCGCCTCCCTCACTCCCGCACTCGCCTGCGCTGACCACTCGAACGCAATGGTAGTCGCCGGTCTGGACATTGGCACGACGCACGGCTGCGTCGGCGTGTGGCACAATGGCAAAGTGAACATCATTGCCAACGACCAGGGCTTCCGCACGACGCCGGCGTACGTGTGCTTTGAGGGGGACGAGGTCATTGTCGGCGACACGGCGGTCAACAAGCTGCCGTCGCACGCCGACAACACGGTGTTCCACCTCAAGCGGCTCTTGGGCAAAGCCCACGCGGACGTGAAAGACCGCGAGTTTGTCAAAAACTGGCCGTTCAGCGTCACGGAAGGCGCCGAGGGCGTGGCACTGGCCGAGACTCGGCGCAATGGCGAGAAGCACGCAGTGAGCTCCGTGGAGTTTATGACGCTGTTGTTGCAGAACCTCAAGGACCTGGCCGAGGACTTTACGGGCGAGAAGCTCGAGCACGTGGTGATTAACAAACCAGCGCACACGGACGAAAAGTACATGGAGCTACTGGACGCTGCTGCCCAGAAGGTCGGCGTCAATGTGCTCACGTACTTGAGTGAGCCCCTGGCAGCGGCCATTGCGTACGGCCTCGACGAAGTGGCCAACAACGAGAAGCCCGAGTTTGTGCTCGTGTTTGACATTGGGGGCGCGACGCACGACGTCACGCTGCTGAACGCCGACAAGGGTCTGTTTGAGGTCGTGGCCAGCAAGGGCAACGACACGTTGGGCGGCGAGGACTTTACAGCTGTCGTGTTTGAGCACTGTGCCAAGTCGTTCCTTCGCAAGACCAAGCTGGACGTGGCAACCAACCAGAAGGCGTCGAGTCGGCTTCGCATTGCATGTGAAGCTGCCAAGCGCTCGCTGTCCACGCAGACACAGGCGAACATCGAGGTCGACTCGCTCATGGAAGGCGAAGACTTTGCGCTCAAGCTATCGCGGCCTCGTTTCGAGGAGCTTATCTTCGACTACGTGCAAAAGACAATCACGGAGATTGAAGCGATTCTGAAGGACAACGAGCTCGAAAAAGAAGACATTGACCACGTTGTACTGGTCGGTGGCTCTTCGCGCATTCCGCTCGTGCAGGCTCAGATCAAGAAGTTCTTTGAGGGCAAGACGCTGCACACGCAGCTGTCGCCGGACGAGGCAGTGGCCTTTGGTGCTACCATTGAGGCGTCGTGTTTGGCAGAGCTCGTGGGCTCGGAGGCACCTGCACAGGCAGTCAACATGGTGAACGTGGTGCCCTTGAACCTGTCTGTGGGTCTTGCCAATGGCAGTGTGTCGGAGCTCATCCAGCGCGACACGATCCTGCCGGCCTCGGCAACAGAGGTGTTTACGACCTCGTCGGACAACCAGGAAGCAGTGTTCTTGCAGATCTACGAGGGGCAGCGCCTCATGGCGAAGGACAACACGCTGGTAGCGCAGCTGAGCGTGGCGGGCATCACGCCGCTGCCCAAGGGCGACGCCGAGATTGACGTGACGTTTACCGTGAGTACCAAGGGCGTGTTGACCGTGACGGCGTCCGAGCGCAAGGCCGGCAGCAAGACGTTGGAGGTGACGCACGACTCGACGCGTTTGACGCCTGCAGACGTTGCGGCTATTGTCAAGAAGGCCGAAGACGCTGCGGACGAAGATGGCGAGCTGCTGGGCGAGCTCGAGGACGCGGAAGAGGCCGAGGAAGCTGCGGAGCTCGCGGCAGCAGCCGCGGCCGAGGTCGAACCCACTGGCGCTCCTGCGGTACCGGTGGTGCCGACGCAGGACCTAGATTAAGTAAACCACCCCATCCTACTTGTCCTCATTTAATGGAAACAAGCCACGTTATTTTGTGAGACCTCGCGGGCAGTGCCGTTCGCTTGGGCGCGTTCGGATTGGCTGAAAAGCCGCCACCACATGGCCGACACGACAAAAGTGCGCAGCAGTCGGTCGAACCGTTAAGTATGGACGACGACGTCAAGTCCGCCGCGAACGCCATGAATGTACGTAGACGTGACGCGTTGTCGTCGTCGTCGCCGTCGTCATTGGTGCTGCTCTCTTCTGTGCTATGGTGTTACACTCGACTGATTGCTGTCGTTTGTCCGTGTGCTTTGTTTCTGTGCAGGATCGAGGCGCTGACTTGGACTTTGGTGTGTGTGTGTGTGTGTTTTTGCGGCCTAATTGCGAGCCAAAACGGACGCTTTGCCTGCTCTGTCGACTGCCGATTTTGATTGACTGACACAATGAGTGACGTGATGTGTGACTGTTTCCAGAGGTCTCTGTGGTCGAAGGCGATGAACTGGAAGACGGACTCTTGTCCGTCGAAGTGCGCGAGACCCTCATGGGGTCCAAGAGCGCCGCCTTTGGAGAAGACGGGAAACCGCCTGGACGCCCTGTCGGTCTCTGTGGCTGCTTCTCGTTATCGTTCTACCAGCCTGTAGGTACACGGCCGTTGCCGGCGTTTTCTTGCTGCTCGGTGCTGGCCGACATGACATCTGGTTTGTGGTACATGTGTGCCTGTTGTGCTGCAGTACTTTGACGTGGACACGTCAGATGTCCAGCTGCGGCTGATGCAAGCCCTGCTGCCATTCAAGAAAGAACCGGTGTTTGCTGAGCTAGCGGTGAAGTCACCCGATGCTTATGGACCGCTCTGGCTCTCCACGACGCTCATCTTTTGCCTGGCGTCGTGCAGCAATGCGGCGTCCTTCTTGGACTATGGCGGCAACACGGACGAGTGGATGTACGACTTCAGCCGTCTCGCTTCGGCGTACACGCTGGTGGAGATCTTTCTTCTCGGCCTACCTATGCTCATCTGGCTCGTGGGTAAGTATTTCCAAGTGCCTATGACTCTGCTCTTTCTCGTGTGTCTCTACGGGTACTCTTCGATTATGTTTATCCCCGCTGCGGTAAGTCGTCGATCTGCTGTGTTGGAACACGATGCTGAGACATCTAACTCGCTCATTTGTGCAGATCTTGTGCGTGTTTCCCATTGACGCCATGGACTGGGTCGTCATGTTGATGGCCATGGCGTGGTCGCTTTTCTTCTTGCTCAACAACCTCTGGCGCGTCATTTCCGAGCACTTGACGAAAGAAAAAATGCTGCCAGTGTTGGCAGTCATCAGGTACGCGCTTCGATGTGACTGGTGGCACACTGCTTTGCTGTATGAGTCTGGCCCGCAAAGCTGATCACTTGTCCTGACGTTGCAGTGGGGCGCACATGATGTGGGCCGTCCTTATGAAGCTGCTGTTCTTTTAGCTGGTCCGGACTGCGTACATCACAGTAGGGTGCTCAACGAATGTCGCAATACCACACTAAATGCATTCATTACTCAACACATTGACGACAAATACAGACGCACGCGGTCGAAGCGGATGCTGGGTCTATACAATTCGAGTTTCTTCACCTCCATCACTGTCTACGACCATGCCGCTTTCAGCGTTCAGCATCATTTCGCGTTCCTCGTCCAGCACCAGGTCTTGTCCATCTTCTAGCATCAGTTCTCGTTCATCATCCGGGCCCGTAGCTAGCTGTTCAAAATCGATGTCTCGGCCAATGGTCGTCGGCTGGTCTGACCGATTCCTGTACACAGAAAAAAGCCGAAGTGTAAGACGACGACAGCAGCTCCTCACGCAACTAACACCAGAGAGCAACTTACTTGAGGAAAATCGCCAATCGCAAATATTGCACGGCATTTCGTAGTGCCAATACCGAGTCTGCTGCAACTTCCTCCAGCTCGCCCAGCACGCCTTCTTCGTTGAAGTACATGGCCACCGACACTAAGCTCATGACTGCACACAACAGCAACGACACGCAAGTCATGTCACACACACACACTGCACCACCAAGCTCTTCCTTGCTGACAATTCCCGTCCACGCACCTAAGGCGACAACGTCAAAGATGTTGCACCACTTGTGCCAGAACCGCTGCAACAATAGTCCAGCCATAACGCGACAAACAAGTGAGACTCGACAGCGACATCAGTCGTCGTTGCCGCCAGAATCCCTCACCTTCTTGAACGCCATCATCCGGAGCAGCACTTCGCACACCAGCAACGTACTGACAATGATCTCGAGCGAAATAAACACCACCGACGACGGGCTACGGGACAGTTCGTACAGCAGAAACACACACACACACACACACACACACACACACACACACACACACACACACACACACACACCACCCCGTTCGTTCACATGACATGACAACGCTTCGACCACCTCGACACCCTGTCGCTGTGCGTACATTTTCCACTCGTTCAAGCCAGTCTGTCATACCCAATCGGCGCACGACATTAGCGTCCGCACTGTGACTATTCATATACCAAAAGCTGTAGCACGAGGACACGGAACGTACCCAGACGACGCACACGAGGCTCGAGGCGATCATCGAGCAGTACACCACTCGGTAGAAGCTTGAAAAGTACAGACGACTGGCCACGGTCATGAGGTACTCTTTGCACCCAATGTGCGGCACCGCTGCGCCCGGCAGCTTCGCGTAGCTCGTGGTTCCGTGCATGCCGGCAGCAAAGCGGTTCTGTGGTCGTCCGTGGCGTCGGTATCAGCACGGGATTGGTCAAAAGGGCGTCGCTGCCTCTTTTGCTGTTGACGTATAGGGTGAGGGTTTCGATCGAGTCTCTTGTCCGACCATGACGTTTCGAATGACCCGACGTGTGCATAGAATGGACAGACGTTACCCATTGATTGTGACAGCGGACGGATCGATGTTTACGCCCCGTCGCGACTATGTACATTATGTACGTGGGGATGGAGCAGACCCGTAGAGAGTCGATGTGCTGTGGCTCGATGCCCACTGGTGTCAGTGTCGTGTGTTATGAGCACTTTGCATTGCTGCTGGTCGAGCCATCATTGACCAACGTCATGCACGAAAGGGGTATGAGCGCCCAGTTGCTGCCACATAGTTCCACTGGACCGTAATGGCGCTAGGACTAGTGACGCCAATGTCGTCAGTATTGGCCAGATACGGCCGTGCCGTTCCGAGAGGGTGCGCTGCGGTGGCTCTTCTCGCGTGTCGCAACGCATCCATACACTAGTGAGCGTGACTTGTCCCAGAACTGCGACGTTGGCGGTTGTAGCGATGTGTATAAGGCGTGCAACCAAAGGTGTGTCAAAGGTCATTGGCGTTTCGTCCATAGCGAGAGGAAGAGCTGCGGCGCCATTCGACGCTCAGTGGGATCGATGTATTCGGTGTCGACCTGACTCGCAGCAGTTGTGAATTTCTTGGTAGAGTCCGATCTTGCCAGACCCCTGAGATCGGACCAAGACCATTTTGGTCGAAGGTATCGGAAACGTCTCATGCCTGCGTCGGACCTGCACAGCAACACGACAGTCGCGAGAACTTGCTGCCTGGTTGTGCTGTCGTGCTATCGTCGTGTCTTTTGATCGGATCTGTGTCGTGTGGCGTCACAAGTTTGTGCGTGATTGTCTTTGTATGGAATAGTTCAGACACGACAAGCATGGTGATCATTGGAACAACTGCAGCTTGACCGGATCAGAAGGATCGTCTGGGTGATAGAATATGGCCGTCGTGTATGATCAGTCGAATCGTGCCTTTACAGCATAGCAGATACCACTGCATTCGCGTCCACTCTACCGCGGACGCTTATGGACGAGTCGATCAACGCAGGAGTCGAAGTTAGGCAGGAGGTGAAAGGCTACTACATGAAGGAAGACCGTCACCAACCAGAGGTGCTGTTCCAATCACGATCTCTGTATGCAAGTAGTAGCGGGATCGCACGGGAATCGGTGTGCCTATCTGCCATCTTCTCTTCTTTTTTTGTTTGCGGCCACGTGCGATGCACGCTCGAAAGAGCGACTTCCCAAAGTCGGTGACGTCGTTCTCCGCGAGCTTGTCTGGTTCCGATCAACGTTTTTACAAAAGAGCCGCATGTTTCGCAGATCATCTTCGAAGGAGTACGTAGTGCTTGCACAGACTGCCCACTGCCCACACGAGCAAGTATTCCACTCCACACCGCTGCAAATATAAAGCAGGGCGAGTGAAATCATTCGCGCAGACAACAACTACAACAAGTATAAGGACTGCGACGCGACATCGTTTTCGATGCTGCTGACGGGCGGTACACACGCTGAAACGGCATGTCAGAAACGAAGGAGAGCGAGTAATCGAGATTGTCAACAGCATCAGTGCTTGGATTCACTTGCCTGTTTGGGTCTCATCCTCGTGACGAATGCACCGCCAACGTGTGAATAGCTAGTTGGTTTTAGGAGTACGAAGAAGTCTTTGCTTATGCTGACGTCTATGTTAGTGTTATGTCTCCTAAATACACGAGGTCATTGCTGAGCTATGAGACTTATCCAGGTATGACGACAGCCTAGGATGTTGTATCGGAATAATTGCAGTAGAAAGGAGTTCCCAACAGTACTTTTATCGCGGGAAGGTTTACACGACACTTGTCATATCACTAAGACGAACATCTTCTGGGTAAATCGACTGCCAAGTTTATCGTCGTCAAATCCAGGTCTATTTTCACAAAAAAGGACATAAGTTGACAACGGACCGCGTATTTTATAACCCAGAATCCAAGCCTTGGACGAACATGCGAGCAGGGGAATTTTAAAATTTGGGGAAAACGCTTCCGCGAAAAACAGGGAGCAGAAAAAACCTAATTGTCGAGTTCTCCTTCGCTTTATGTGCGAGAAGAACGAACATGTTAAAAGCTTCCCTCCCGATATTCGTTCTCGCGCATTTCGTATTCAAGCGGATCTGGCATGTTCGTATCCTACGCATTGGATTGGCTGAAAATCGCACAATTCTCCACAGCCGCACTGAATGTTATCGAGCTCAATCGCGATGACATTCTCGGCCCAGAATACGGCCTACGTTCGCGTGTGGTGAGTAGGGCTGGGAAAATCGAATATTCGTCGAACATTGAGGTCCTTTCGAATAATTTGACTCGAACATTTGACAGCATCGAATATTCCAGCCGCTTAAAATCTTCGAGTCGAATTTTCGACTCCATTAATTATATACAAATACATTAAACAAACCGTTCGGTAAGGTAGCCAATTTATCTTAACAGATTTGGAGTTGCTAATTTATTTGGACCAATCCGAGAACCATCCATTATCATTAGAGCAGAATTGCTAACTGTATTAATGTATACGTTGTATATAGCCAATACAAAATCTCCATTTATGATGAATACCTTCCATAACGTAAGCTTAAGCTCGACCGCCGCCGCAGCCTCAAGCTCGAGTGCTGCCATCACATCATTAAACTCGACTGCCGCCGCAGCCCCCTCAATGGCAATTCCTGATGAAGATGCTCAAGCTTTGGCCAAGTCAGAGTCAGCGACCTTGGAGATTAAAGTGAAAGTTGATGATCACTTTATAGTGGACAAAGTCGCCTGCTTAGCCAAGTGCGTTCATTGCAAGCGAACGTACAGGGTGAACAAAACCACAAAAACGAATTTGACCAAGCACGTCGAAGACAAACATCCCACCATGCTGGTAGTGCCTCTCCACGACTCGCAACGACGCCCAGTCGGTGAATTGCCCCGAGTTCTGCAATTGATCGGCGTCAATAATCAAGATAAGTTTGAGGCGGCACTTTTGGAATTCCTTCTACTAACTGATCAGCCTTTTGCTTTGATCGAGAGTGAAAATTTCAGGACGTTGGTGAAGGTACTGAATACCCGCGTGAATATCTATTCAAGAACAACGTTGACCCACCGTATCAAGGCCGCGTTTGAAGAAAAACGGAAGAAAATAACCGAATTTCTCACGAAACCTCAATTAAAGCTTTCTTTTACAATGAAGGTTTGGACATCGCCAGCTGGTATCCCGTTCATGGCTATTACAGTGCATTTTATTGCCGACTGAAAAATTCAATCGCTGATGATTAATTTTGTGCACGTGCCTGGTTCCCACACATGAATGAACATGGCAGAGGTGGTCAAAAATTCATTAGACGATATGGGTCTTTTAGACAAGACCTTGGGGTTAACCGTTGACAATGCTGGGAACAAGGGAACGATGATCAAGCAGCTACCGGATGACCTCGATGTGAAGCTGTCTCCATACATGCACTCTCGTTGCTTTGCGCATTTTTTGAACTTAGCCGTACAGAACATCATGGAATCCATGAAAGGCAGAATTACCGCCATTAGAGACACCGCCCATGCTACTCGATACTCGCCTCGCAAATGAATCAGCTGGAAGATTGCTGCAAAGCAAGTAAAGATGAAATGGCCAGAGTGCTCCAATAAAGTTCGTAAAACCCGTGATGGACGTTAAGACGCGTTAGAATGCAACGTACGAAAATTTGACATAGGTGTTAAAGTTACGCAATCCATTAACCTAGAATATTCACGATCTGGCCGACGATGAAGAACCACGAATGCAAAGACAACAACGACGCGCAGCTCGAGATGGTATTGCAGCACCAGAAAGCAACTTTTTAACGTTCAAGCTGTCATCCACAGTTGGTACACTGTCAAGACTCTTCACGAATTCTTATGGGACTTCAAGAGCGCTACGGAAATGACATGCGGTGACACGTACGTTACGCTATCTAAAGTGGTACCGCTCTACACCGAGCTATTGGATCACATTGATATATTTTTGGATAATTTGACGATCACAAAAGAGATGAAAGGAGAGATTAATAATTGCAAGGACACTCTTGAACGCTACTACGACATTACAAGCCATAGCTGCACAATGGCGACTTTACTCGATCCATGATTTTGGCTTGGCTACTACTCTGTGCGGTATGATGAGGACCCTTATATAAAACGAAGACCCAGAGGATACCCTTCGAATTGCGCGACATATATACACCTCAGGCTATAAAACAAGCAAATTGGATGCCGCCAACACAGAATTGAAGAGCTGTATCCATAATGAGTTTAAGAGCCTAATGTTTGAGAAGCCTATGACGGCCCTTGTGACATTAATTGATGAACTCGACATTTATTTGCGGGGCGCACAAGAAGGTCCTATGACACTACCACTTTTTCGGTGGAAGTCACAAGAAAAATTGTTTCTAACATTGGCAAAAATGGCAATGTACTATCTGGCCATTCCTGGGATCTCAACATCATCGGAACGAGCTTTCTCCGCGGCAAGTCTATTGATATTCACTGTGGGCACGCACCATTCGTGCAAGTTGCTGCCTTAGGAATTGGATTAAATGAAGGGCACGTAAGTAGTACGCTAAAAATCAATACATTAGTAGCAGCTTGAAGATTCGCTTACCATGAGGTTCGATCGTCTATATTAGAGCTATTTATCAATTGTAAGACAATCGTAGAGTGTAAACCACCTCTTACATCTACCATGGCACGAAAAATTTCCTTCCACGTTACTCGTTCTGCTTGCTTGGTACTACAGAAGTCACGGGAGACACACTCGAAAGGCACCTGATAATTACTGCTGACCAAATCCGACATTCGAACTTTGTGTGCACTCTTGGACAGATGGCTGGACTGCACGTCGCGCTTGCATCCGCTTCAGGAGGTAGGTGACGTATGGCTAGGAGGCCTGGTTCACTTCGGAAGTCCTAGTGTTCCATCTTGACATAATTCCTGACCGTCTCCATGGTGATCGACTTGCTCTGCTCTTCACGCCTATACCATTGCACAACTAGCGCAGACTTTCCAGGCGCACCACACGACGAAGAATATCTTGGCCTGGTGCTTGCTCTGCATAAAGGACCTGTTCACACAGCAAACGGTTCGGCGCGAGGTGAGTCACTTCGTGAGTAGAAACGAACATTGGCACGGGTATATCAATCTCTGTCACATACCTTGTTTTGCGGAATACCGATGTGTTGCTTTACTTTCGGTTTGCACGCTGCGTAGCCTACCGTAGCACGCACAGAAAATCTTAGGCCTCTCAGGATATCTTCACCTCTTACCGTTGTAGGTCGTAGAGCTCAAATTGGGGAGTGACCGTCGCTTTTTGAACTAACGTTCGACTCGACCGCTCATAAATTCGATTTCAAATATTCAAGTCGAACATTCGATATGAATATTCGATTTGGCCAGCCCTAGTGGTGAGCTTTCGACCCGCTCGAAGTACAGCCAACAGGCTGGTGACCACATCAGGGGTAAAGAAAAACATAAGCCTACGCTCGTGACCACCGCAAAGATCACATCATTTATCAACGCAGGACTGCTCATTAGGACTTCCTGGTAGAATCAGAGGGCTCGCCTGAAGTTATGACAGAATCACCTTCTGCGGTCCGCCAAGCAACAGAAGAGTTTCAATCCCTTGGAACCTTCGAGTTGGTGCCTCCGCGACCAAACGAGACTTCGTATGTATTCAAATGGGGTGTTCGTGTCAAGTACATCGAGAACGGGAAGGAGGTCTTCGCGTGGGCTTGTTTGGCCGACGAGGCGTGTCGGACGTCGGGAAAAAAATCTGTTCAAGATCTACGCTGGAAAAACGACCATGGCTGTGAAGCACCTCCAGAAGATGCACAACGTTGGCTCACCAAAAACGGAGACAGCGACAGTCAAGAAGCAGATGCATGAACACGATTACAGCCATCTGTCATCCTCCGTCCTGTATTCAAACAACCCAACCCGGCCAAACGTGCTGATGACCACTATCATTATCATAAATCACAACTTGGCGTTTCGTATGGTTGAGTACGAAGAGGCAAGACTTGTCCAGGCGCTACTCTAAAAGGAAGGGTTGAAGGACAAAAAAATTACGAAGCAGGTGAAGGAAATAATCGTGGAGCTGTATTCTTCAACACGAAAGGAGGTCACTAACTACCGTCAGGAGAACCGAGAGGACTATCCGAACATTACGCACGTGGCAGATTTTTGGATGCAAGCAACGCAAGACAAGTTTCTTGGGTGCCGCGTTTACCTGGTAAAAAAGCCTGGCATTAGAAGTCGATACTTTTGGGAACGAGAAAGTTTAACCCCGCATATGAAGATTGTGATAGCGGCATTTTAATGCCCTCCATGGGGTGGCTAAAGCATATTCTCGAGGACTTCAGCCTAGCGACGACCGATTTTTATGGAGCTACGAGTGACTCAGGAAGTGACGTGAAATCGATGCTGTTCAAAGTGTAACGGGGCACACCCTTGCTTAAACTTAACGCAAGGGTACCGGTGCCCCGACAGACGTACACAAGGCAAGCGAGGAAGCGTAGGTAAGGTAAAAGCAGAACTCTTATATTAATATAATTATGTCTTTTAACTACTGTCTCTCTGTTTTACTTAACTTAATTATGCTAATATAATTGAGTGTATGGTGACGTCTCGTCCCACTCATTGCGCGCGTCTTGCGGTGATTGGTGGGTTGATATCATCTAGATATCAACCAATGAACAGACTCTTTGGTCGACCCTTCAATATCACCACTTTGGTGATATATTTTAAAGAATATTCAACTTCATTTTCTTTATTGTCACTTTTCTTAAAGTGACAATTCCACGTAACGGGCTGCCCCGTTACATCACCTTCCTTAACTGATAGTCACCGTGTGACTATCGAAAATATGGCGGCCACCTGTTGGACACCATTGGGACAGGGAGCACTTGTTGGGTCCGTTCCCTTCACTTTCCGCTTGACCTCGCATAGTTAACATGTCTATGCGAGGTGACTCAAGACCTATACAGCCCGGTGCTGTGCCAGCTTCTGCGGCAGACGATTCGTCGTCTGCTGCTTCTTCTTCGCCTGCAGCAACAGGTGCTGCAGGTGCACGCGGCAACTCACCGCGTGCGCATGATGACCTCGACGTTGAGGTCATCTACTCTGGCGAGTCAGACGTGTCTGACTCAGGCAATGCTCCAGAGGCATCTCGCTCACCGGCGACGCCTCAGTATTCGCCAAAGCCACTGCCGAACGAACGGAATCGTGATTTGCAGCACAGTCTGTTCGGCAGTGATGACGAATATGGTGATGAGTATGTTTGCTCATCACCGAAATCAGCTCGTGCTCTTTCGCACGAGCGACCTGACGATGGTGCAACCCATCGTCATAATGACAACCGTGGTACCAACAAAGGTACCACCGTGAAGCGTGATGAGCTGAAGCCGTGGCGTTTGCCCTAACGGCTCATCAATAGCCTGTCTCACGAGACAGGCCAACACCATTGAATACCCTTATTCGATGCGACTGAGCTTCACGGCTTGAATCCCAGCGCGAGCAACTTTTGCGCTGAAGAAGACTTTTATGTCGATGTCTTCCTTAGACATCGATGGTACAACAGCAAATAAAAGCGTGACAAAGCCTCGCTTTTGGCTGCGTGGAACGCGTTCGTCCAAAACGTAAAGAATTTTGGACGAGAAGGGTGGCTCAAGAAACTTGAGGCGACACGCCTCAGGTTCAAGAAGCGAACGCCACCCGGTGCCAGGTACCGGTTGCACTGTTTGTCGAGTGAGGCAGACATTCCTTGCCTCACATGGGGAGACCCTTGTGCAAGTTGTGTTGACAACTCGCAGCGTGCACATAGGGATGTGTACTCCCTAAGTTTGCCCTGGGGAAGGGCACACATCTCGGCTGAGATGCGTGACGCGATTGCAAACTTGCAATCCGTTTACAAGCGCCAAAAGCGCGTGTTTACCGATGGGCCACAGAGCCAATCGGATGGGTCTCGTCATACTGGCGGACGAGACCTTTAACATCCATCAACAGCTGAGAGCGGGGCTCCCAGCTGTTCCAAGAGGGAGGATACCCCCGCCACTGGACGAGGTAGCTCGTCCTTGATCCTGAATAGTCACGGTGATTCAAGATACGCTCTACTAGAAAGCGTTGATCACCGTGAGCATCCATCAAAGGATGTGGTGGAGGAGGAAAGACCTCCTCCAGATGATTCGGTTCACCGTCTCGACCCTTACGAGATGGATCGCGCAATCGATGAATTGCGCGATGACCTGAAGCACGAGCGCGACCGGCGCTACGCTTTGACTGATACCGTGTGGAAGAACCGCAAGGATCACGAGGCTGATCGGGCGAGGGATCGCGCCGATTATGCCACAGCGCAGCTTCAGGTCGATCGGGATGTCCGCTCCCTATTCGGCGAGCTGGCGACAGCTCGCGGGGAGATATCTCGGTTAAGTTCCGAGGTATCATATCTGCGCGACCAGACGGATCGTCTGGAGCGCGAACGCTAGAACTTGATGGATGTTATTGAACTTGGGGGCTATCTTCATCGGAAGAAGAAGGCTCGTACTGACAGTACGGCCTGAGCCTCCCCGCGTAAAACGTAGGATGCGTTCGTATCTTACGTGGCAATTCGAGTGTGTATGCATTGCCCTTGCGATGCAACACTCGAAATGGCCCAATGTACTTCGGCAGTAATTTACTACTGCCGACACTAGTGACTGCGTTTTTCATGTAAGTTTACCGTTGACAGTAGTACTAGGTCATTAACATTAAATGAAAGAACATTTGCTCTTCCATTCTTGTTTGCGTTCCGTTTCTGAAGGTCCACCGCATTTGCGATAGAGGCCTGAACGAAACGGACTACCGCTTCTCGAGTCAGCAGGAAGTTCTCTGCTGACTCTTTGTTTTGTCGTTCAGTGCGCTTCGTGCGCACTGCTAAGAGATTGTTCTCTTCTTCAGTGAGGTTGTCTTCTTCCTCGCTGGTATAATCGTTGACGATGCTGAATATACCAGCACCGTCATCATCATCCGAGTCAATAATAGCGTCGTCGCTATTATTGAGGTGATCTTCTTCATCGATGTCGACTTGATCGACATCGGCATCATACGTGACGACGTTATCGTCAACACGTGATGAGCAAGAGCCAAAACGGTTTTTGCTCGAGCGAGCCCCTCCCCTCCTTATCCAAGAATCACACTCTAGAAGGGTGGGCACATGTGGATGGCTTAGGCCATTCACGTAAAACGGTGTGTGCTATGTTGAAGCATGCACCGAATTATTGATGGAGAATTCCACCATGGGTAGGAATTCGCTCCAACTCGGAAACGAGTGGGCATAACCTCGAAGGATCTCTTCGATGACACGGTTCGCACGTTCCGTCTGTCCATCTGTTTCCGGATGGTCAGAAGTAGACATCTTCAATCGTGTTCCAAGTGAACGGAACACGGTTTGCCAAAATGCCGCCGTGAACCGAGGGTCACGGTAGGATACGAGTTCACGGGGCTACCCGTGGAGTCGGAAGATCGTGTCAAGAAATACACGAGCACAACCTTGAGCCTTGATCGACTCAGGGACAGCAGCAAGATGGACCATCTTGCTGAATCGGTCAACAAACACAACAATACCATTATTCTTGTGAGCGTCTTCGGGAAACGTACTGCTATCACTCTGTCAGAACAGGCAGAGGCTGCAATGGCGCACGGGATGAAGGACTAGGCTTCAACCGTTGACAAACCTCGCAAGCACGTATGTACTTGCGTACAAACTGATACTGGCGTGGCCAGTAAAAGTCACGACTTACCGTGAGGTAAGTCTTTTCTCTACCACGATGGCCGCCTGTTGGGGCATCGTGACACTCATACATGATGCGTAAACGCAAATCATGATTAGCGGGTACGACGACACGAGGCGTGTCGTCGGCAGCAGCTGTATAGTACAGCAATCCGTTGCGTGTACTATACCGATCCGATGAGGATCAGTACAAAGCCGGAAAAAATTTCTGGCTTTACTGGATGGATTCATTAGAAGATCCATCAATCGCAGAAGATCCTTATCTTCCGCGTATGCCTTTCTTACGTCGCCAAGTAAACTTGACGACGGTACACTGACTGACAGTGTCACAACAGTGGGCTTATCCTCACTGTTGATTTGTGCGTCCGGCTCGAAATCGGGCCTGCGCGAGAGCGCATCAGCGACGACATTGAGTCGTCCTGGTTTATACTCCACGGAGAAGTTATACTCCGCGAAGAAAGACATCCACCTCGCCATTCGTTGCGAAAGATGTGAACTGTTTACGGCCGTGCGTAATGACGCATGAACCGTATAGACGCGAAACTTAGCCTGTGCGTACTTCATAGCAAGGAGTTCCTAGTCATGCACTGGGTAATTGCGCTCAGCTGCTTGCAGCTGACGCGACATATAACAGATGACGCGCTCCGCGCCATCTGTATCGAACTGCATTAACGCACAGCCGATTGAAAAATCGCTGGCGTCACAGACCACATGAAATTGTCTGTCCTGATCTGCAATCGCCAAGATCGGCGATTGCATCAAGCTTTGCTTGACACCCTCAAAGTAACGCTGGCACTCAGCGTTCCATGACCACTTGACATTTTTCTTGAGCAGACAAGAAAGATGAACAGTCATCTCGGCGTAGTTGCGCGAGTACTTGTGCTAGTACGCCGCTAGTCCAAGGAACTTCCTTAGTCCCTTGACATCGACTGGCACTGGCCAGTCGGTGATCGCTTTGATCTTTTCGGGATCAGGGTGTACGCCGTGTTTACCCACGATGCACCCAAGAAGTGGTATTTCGCTAGCCTCGAATATACACTTCTTGAGGTTGGCGTACAACTTATGATTGCGCATAAGTTGAAGAACCTGACGAAAGTGAGTTCTGTGAACTTCAACGTCCGTCCTTCCGTCCATAGGCCGGCTATGGACGAACACATCGTCGAAGTAACTCGGTGCGAAGTCTCGCACCGGTCTCAACAGATTTGTGACACATCTGTTGAATGTTGCAGGGGCATTTCTCAGCCCCTGTGGCATCACTAGCCACTCCCACAGCATCCCGCTGGGGGTACTCACTGCTGTGTACGGGATGTCCCGTTCACGCATGGGTATATGATAGAATCCATCAATCAGATCCATGGACGAAAAGATGGTACTCTTTGACATACCATTTATGATTACGTCCTTCCTCGGTATCGGCGTCTGAGCCGTACCCGTTGCAGCATTCAATTTGTTGAATGCGTGCACTATCCGCCACCCTCCTGTGGCCTTTCGCACACAGAAGGTCGGAGAGCTGTGAGGGGATGTTGATTCCCTCACATGGCCCGCTGCTAAGCGATCGGCAAAGAACTTGTCGATCGCTATCACTCGTTCACGAGGCAGTGGCCACTGCTTCATGACACAGTATTTCGAGCCCGGTTTGAGCTCGATCTCGTGTAGAGTGCCTTTGTCCTTAGGCAACTCGCAAGGTACGGATTCAGGATACACATCCCTGAATTCGATCAAATCCTTATACAAAGGATTTGCCTGAAGTGACTCCCAGGATTGAGACGCGTATCGTTCAATCCGAGTCTTCTTATCGAGGAAACTTTCGTCCATCGATGAGCTGCTGAGAACCCGTTCGTTCTCAGCAAATACTGTAGCCGACCAAATATCGGCCACATGCTCATCCTCTGTGACGAGTATGCAGATCTGCTTGACTTTGCCACTACGTAGATCACGCAAGAACCGTTTCGGTTCTAGCGTTGGCAACTGAGTTATCTCCGAAGTTAACTTCGGAGGCACAATCAGATCAAGCGTATAAGCGCCTACACTTGATCCGTCATTAACCAAGACGTTCAATGTCTCGGTTTCTTCCTGGGAACTTGATTCCAAAGGTTGCTGAGGGACTGATCCCTCAGCAAGTGACTCTTGAAGAATTCCTTCCTCAAGTACGTAGGGACTTATTACCTCGACTTCTTCCTACTTTGGCTGTGCAACCACAGTCAGGGACCGATCCTCTACAGCCGACTCTACAGTCGACCTAGAATTTCCATGTTGCCCCTTGGAGGCAACAGGTTTCTTACTTCTAAGATGCTGCCCGCTAGGCATGTATCATGTCTCGGTCCACTCGACTTATTCGAGTGGTGAACCTTAGGCGCAGCATGTACTCATGTACAGCCGCCGGAAGCTTGCTCCACAGTGTAGTGATCAACTACACTGTGATCTTGTGCAGTCGTGCTAACGACCGTACCGCAAGTGAGACCATCGCACTCACTTGCAGAACATCCACACGCTTGTGGACGCTCCAAGATGTTCATCAGATGGCCATATGATGAACAAGCGGCAGGCATCTTCACGGATCGGTGCTTCCAGCTCACCCTTGGCTCGTACTTCCTGAGCCAAGGTAATCCCAGGATGGCATCAAATTTGTCATCCAGATCTAGTACGATGAAGTCATCATCGTACTGTTCGCCTTCTAACGTGTAGTGGATTCCTAATACACGTTTCTCAACGGTGATCGATGAGCCTGTTGCAAGGCGCACCGTCGTCCTTGTGAGGGGGAATGTCGCGCTCAACGAACTTGAGCCTACGACCCTCTAGTGACTGGCGACGAACAAAGTTGTTCGACGCCCCACAGTCTACTAGGGCACGAAGCGACAAATCATTTGTCGCTTCCAACTTCAGGTGATGAGCGAAACGTCATCACCAGGTGCAGAGACACACAATGATTGTGTATCTGGAGCAACTTTCGTCAAGAGATTTGCAAATTCTCTTGAGGTTGCTGGATCAGTAGGGCGCTCCGCCCCTACTGACCCCGACCATTTTTTTATGGTCCGTCTCGCTGTTGCGGCTTCGCAACAGCGCTGGACCCACGCCCATTGCCCTTTCTGGCGAATGGTCGTCCATTTCGCTCAGTACTGTTTGGTACTGGGCGTGGAGCACTACACTCGTATGCGTAGTGCCCTAACTTCTGACAGAGATTGCACCTCTGCAATCGCTTGTTATTTGAAGAGCGAGGTCTCTCGCTCTCAACATAGCAGAGGTCCATTGGTTCTGGACCTCCGATCTCTTGTCCTCTTGGTGGACGATAAGAGTTTGAGCTAGCATGAGCCTGTCTCGTGATTAAGTCTTCCTGTTCCGCGGCTGATATCGCATCTTCCAGCGTATTCATCTCAAGGCGGAACAGGTGGCTCCTGACGGGCCCTTCTGCGAGCCCTTGCATGAACACCGTAATCAACGTGTGTTCATGGACTGGGTTAGCAGTTATACTACTCGCAAGGAGCCGTATATGTTGTGCGTAAGCGTGCACATCACGCTTACCCTGCTTGAGTTTCAGGAGCTCTGAACGAGCTCTGAACGAGCTCTAACGAGCCCTGAACTCAGCCCGTGGCGGCTCAAACGTTTGTCTGAGCCGGGACTTGAAGTCATCTAGCGACCTAAACACATTTGGGTCACTACTCTCGAGCCCCAGGTACCAAGTTTTGGCACGCCCTGCCAAGTGGGTCTGAGCAAATGTGAGTTTCATTTGCTCATCTTCGACGCGACGAGCCTTTAAGGCTCGGTCGAGTTCGACAAACCATAGTAACAGGGAGTCCTCCGGGACTCCACTGTACTTGGAGATGTCAACTTTCATGACTTCGGGACGTCGCGCATGCGCCGTTCCGCCCACAGCAGCATGGAATTGCTGCTGTCTCAACAGCTATGTCTGTTAAGCACCGAGTTATCTCAACTGCTCGGCCTGTTGATAGCCTTGCTGGTGAAGCAAGGCTACTTTCTCCCTTTCGGCGACAAGTTCATGTTGTATGAACTTGGCGATAGCGGCACGTTGATGGTCTCTAGTCTCTAGAGACTCCAACATGGCGCTAATAGCGAAATCGCCTACGGTAGAACTCATTCGTTCTACCGCACCCCATTCGATGTCGCTCAAATGGGTAAACCCTTCACGTGGCGTGAAAGGGCTCTTAATCATCCAACATTTTCATGTTGGATGTTGTGGTCCTTGGAAGGACTACAAAGTGCTACCAGGTGTAACGGGGCACACTCTTGCGTGAACTTAACGCAAGGGTATCGGTGCCCCGACAGACGTACACAAGGCAAGCGAGGAAGCGTAGGTAAGGTAAAAGCAGAACTCCTATATTAATGAAGTCTTTTACTAATGTCTCTCTGTTTGACTTAACTTAATTATGCTAATATAACTGAGTGTATGGTGACGTCTCGTCACCACTCATTGCGCGCGTCTTGCGGCGATTGGTGGGTTGATATCATCAAGATATCAACCAATGAACAGACTCTTTGGTCGACCCTTCAATATCACCACTTTGGTGATATTGTTCAAAGAATATTCAACTTCATATTCTTTATTGTCACTTTCTTTAAAGTGACAATTCCACGTAACGGACTACCCCGTTACACAAAGAACTTAACTTACATTGGGAGTGGTGCTTCGCACACATGGCCCACGCAGCTTAAAATTCACTATGTGGTGTAAATGGAGGTGCTAGTGCTACAGCTAACTCGGAGATGGTGGAATTGATATAACGGATGATTCAAACAATCTTTAAGGTCAAGGTGTTGTCTGTCACCGGGAACGGGAACTTATTCTCAAAGCTTTAAAAGTCTAAGATTAAGGGCGCCTCCACTCGACTTGTTGGACATCCTACGTCACGTTACCTGAGCACGACGCGTTCATTAAAGAGAATTCTTGAGAAATGGTCTGCAATAAGTGCGTGGAATGAAGAGCGAGCGCGTAAAGCCCTTCGTGTCAACCAGCCACCACCAGAGTTCCCGTTGGCTAATCACCACGACGACTTGGTCCATGTGTTGTCTGTGCTGAATCAAATTGGTGAGATCACGCAAATATGTCAAGCAGGGCGTCCTGTTCAAGTCGAAGTACTCGTACAGTTGTATATGGCGCGTATTAACGACCTCGACCCTGATCGGCCTTTGCCACACTACCTATCAACCGACAAAAACATTCAATGGATCTCTGCAAGTGACCTCACACCACCGGCTGCGAATTTACGTAGGCAATTACGAGAAGCATTGGACGAACACTTCTTCAGCAGATATTGCAATGATAAGCAGTTCCACAAATGCCAATTGTTTTTGAAATGCAGTTAAACTCCACCCTATATATAAAAGAACGGAGTGGAGTCTCGATCGTGCAGTGATTTCGTCGTGCCGTCAGCATGGAAAAAGCGGAAGGGTGGCTGTGACCAGGAAGAATGATGTGCACGCAAAAATACGAAGCAACTTATTGGGCTTACTTAAGGCAGTAAGTGAACCCGCGGAGGCCTTTAATTTTGAGACGCATCCACCTGTTGTGCACCTCAGCCGCCTGGAAGCAGAATTTGCGCCGTGATCAAGTCGACCGCCAACTATAAGTAGGCAGGATCGACGCGCAGAAGAGGAACTCGATCGATGGATGGATTTTCCTGTTGATGTTGCACGAAATGAAGACTACACACCAAAGGAATCAGTACTGAAGTTTTTGCAAAGACGAGATCATGAAGTCGACTACTGTGTTTCACCGAGAGCTGTGAGAGTGCTCTTATCAATACCATCATCTTCGTGCCATATTGAGCGTGATTTCGGTGTAAGCAGGGAGATGTTTACTACACAGCGCACGACGCCAGCTGAGCACAACACCGATATGTGCTCATTCCTGAACTTGAATAGCGACTTTGTTGACTTGCTGTAGTGTGAGGAGACCCCAAAAGGACAACATCACTTGCACACACCTACCAGCTTTATCTTCTCCATTGACGAAAAAATGGACTATGAACTCGACGAGATGACCAACGGTCTTCTGGAAGAGTTCGCTAATTGTATGACACAACCTGACGACGTCGAGGAAACGAAGTCGGAATAGTGAACATCTATAGAGATAGTGACATTCACCTTGTACTCGACAAGTAGCGTTGTGCTGTCTGCTCCGCTCTCACTTGAACTCGAAGCTGAAGCTCTGACACGGGTACACTTAATTTATTTTCTCGCGCTCGATAATGTGATGGTTGTAGAGGAGCTCGAGCGCGCACTCGAGGTGGCCGCAGTTGCACGAGGCTGGGTGCTGTCAGCCGAAGTGGTGGCAATAATTCTCGATTGTCTTCGGTTTCTTACAAAGAACGAGTCTATCCAGCCAGGGACGCGTAAGGCCTTACATCCACCACCCTGTTCTGTCGGGTGATGTCTGTAAAGACGGAATAGCTGCTGGTAATGTTTGTCGCGCTTGCTCCTCTGTCTGCGTCGCATCACTTGTGAGCACCATCGCAACAGTGTGTTGCTGGTCCCTCTCCGACGCTACAAGCACCTTAAATTCATCATCGAGGCTGCTGAATGAACAGTTCTCTCTTCTAGGCAGTTGAAAAGGAGATACATGTCGTGGTGCATGTCGATAAAAAATTTTCCATGCCTCTAGCATCCTCTTCTCGACTTCAGCATCTTCGTCAAAGTCTCCTTGCCCGTCGCCGGTCCAGTCGGTCTTGTAGCGGGTCGTTTGGCTTCTCTGGAGCTCACATTCAGAGTTCAGCTCACTCACGCCTTTCATAACTGTCTCGCAATTGACACCAACAGCCGACTGCAAGCTGTGCTCAATGCTGTATTGGGAGGCCTTGTGCTGCTTGGCTGTTGCACCATTTTATCGCGACGCGTCGTGATTGATTTGGGGCGCCTTTATCTGCAAAGCCTTATTGCACTTACTCACCTTCTTCTTCGCGAGACTTGCAATAGCACTTATAAGGCCGGCAATACTTTGCTGGCTTCGCCTATCCATACGCGCGCAGTTCGTCTTGACGTGCTCATGAATAGCCGTTGTCGCGTCTGCTTGACGGTGCACTTGTAAATTTATCTCAGCCTGCGTATGCGTAAGCATTTTCTGGATGCGTTCTTCTAGTTGACGGTTTGCGTTCGTTGTTGTTTCTGCAACGAAGTCGCGAACAAGTTCGTAGAGAGGCCCATATACATCTTCAGCGCACCGCAACAGCTCATCGCGAGTTGACTCTCTCGCCTTCTTGAGGTCCAGCTCCACTGAACCCTTTATTGCAGATGCGACGCCTTCCATCGCCATATCCACTTGATACTTTACAATCTCTCTCGTCTCGTGGTTGGTGCTGTTCCCGCAGAAAGTTACAGCTAGTTTGCCCTCGACAAGCTGCTGCACATATTCCATAACTTCTGCTGCAATGCCCTCTGTCGACATTTCCACTTGCTGTTGGACGATCTGCGCTGCCTCTTGTGTGAAAATACTTCCACCGTGAACCACCACAAGCTTGTCATCGACGAGCTTGAGCGTATGCTCAATGAATTTTCCCGAAACATGATCGGTAGACTTCGCTGTTTGTAGCCGTACCATTTGTGTTGTCTTCTCTTCGAAATTGCATATAACGGACCTGTCTTCAATAAGCTTTTGGACTTGCTACATCATCCGCGATAGAGTGCCGTCCATGTTGCGTTCCATCAGCATCAACTTCTGGAAGACTTCGTTTCGTACTTCCTGGCTCGCCTGGGTGAGTCGTTACAAACGTTGCTCTCGAGTTGACCGCCTCGCTCATCTCGGACGTTCTGCAGGTGCTGGAGTTGTTCCCGGAGGCTGGCTTGCATGGCCGTCAGCGCTTCTCCGAATTTAACAGCAATGTCTCGTTGTTGGCCCGTGAGTTGCCTTACGCTGGTCTCTGTTGAGGCCTGCACAGCCATCAACGCGGCGTTCTGGGCGTGATTTCGCCCTTCCTGTTGGTACTGCAAGACAGCACGCTCTCTTGCTAGCACCTGGGTCTGGAGGAGAAATTGCTGTGCGAGCGCAGCGACGTGGTCCATGACGCTGGAGACGAGTGCTTGATCAGAGACGACAAGCGATGCGCCACAGCCATCACCAGCGGCGTCGATTTCTCCGTCGTCTTTTTTCACGTCACCGTCGATCCCCACAGCCTTCGGACCAGCAGCTTGAGCGCGAGTTAGCACCATTGTCGGAAGACTGCAATATATTTATATGTTCTGCCGAGATATTGATAAATTACCGCTTGACTATTTGCATACATTTCTGCCAGCCAAACCGACGAGATGAGAACACATTCCACTGTGCAGTGCACACGCCAGCACATTCTCCCGCGAAAACCGATACAATAGAAGAAGCTCCAGAACCACAAGAACAATATGCTTAAGGTTTTTTACCTCCCTACTTCGTTCCACGAACATCGTTCTTCCACTGTTCGTACAAGGCTTTCCAGAATCAGTCCTCGCGCAAGGCTTTCCAGAATCAGTCCTCGCGACATCTCGCCGGAACAAGCGGGAGCAAATAAAGCAGAGCTTTTTTCTGCGCCAAATAACGTGCCGCGCGTGCGTGTCGACACAACGACATTTTCGGCAGGCGACAGTTGCTTCGTCCACAGCTTCAACTAGTCAGTCATGCAGGGCGCAGACTGGTCGAATGACATACTATCGACTCTCCACCGTCTCCGTCCGACCGACACGACTCGGCGTTTGGTCATGTGCGTGAATCTTATACCTGCGTGTCGATATCCACCGCAGTATCGCAAGATGGTAAGTAAAGTAGATACTGAGAGAGGAATTGACATTCTATTGAACGATAGTATCGTGTCCAAGACGCCTCGAACTTCCGGAGTCAGGTTAGCAACACCCATGTCGAATGGTCCGGTGATCGCACGTGACTCATCGCTGCGTGCGATGCCCTAGAGGGTGAGAGGGTGAATAGCTCAATGCATTGCATGGGACAAGTCCCGTCCACCTTTGTGCGTAGCTTCATGCCCTCCCGCGCCGCTGATGCTGGTAATTGTTGTCGAACACTTTGAAGTATGAGCTCTGTGATACATCCCTCCTGCGTTACGGTCTTGTCCTCGTGAACGACCCGATTGCTCTGGCCTTCGAGGGTCGTGATACAGGTCGAAGATAACGCCACCACATACGCTCCATTGACGTACGTATGCCGCCATTGTATCCCCAAACGCGCTCTGTAGTCGTCGCGAAAGAAGCAGAGATAATGACGGGGGTCTTTGTGCCATGCAGGAACTCGCATAAAGCTGAAGGCTGTCTTGTGTCGCAATGCGACCTGTCCAGTAGGTGACGAGCCCCTTTTCCCGTTGGGCTTCACGTAAGTCCGCTACATCATCGTGGCATGCTAAGTGAGCAAGGGGCGTCTCGGGGATCTTCCAGCGGAAGCCGTCTGCGATATTGTCTGCGATTCATTACCTCAGGACTGGAGCACGATACCAAAAGCGGCCGCGCCGTGTACTGCGTCGTCTGCCATCACGACCCAGCGACACGGCATCTGGAGCTCCGGCGGATTCCGTAGCGTCACTGCGCTCTGCCCATCTCGCATTTCTCAGCGATGCCCATCGCAGGGCTACCAGCACGATCGCAAGCGCCCATCTCAGAAGTCACGGTCTGTGTGATGGATGCGCCGCCGCCCGGGAGACAAGGCACAAGCGCCGTATCTTTGACAGAACTCGTGTGCTTGTGCACGATTGAAAGAAGTTTCGAGGATGGGATCGATGTCTGCAGCTGTTCGTTCCTGTCGGGTGCCACGCGGTTGAGCAGACTGCATCAAATTTGCCGATGAACAGCGAGAACGCCGAGCTCAATGACAATCCATCGCTTCCTCATTCTAGACGCTGCTCAAATATGGATCGAGCGAATGCATACACGCGATGGTGCCGCAGACATGGCCGTGTCTTCTTAGTCGTCTCGGGCGGCGGTCAATGCAATGAATCGACGAGTACGCTGTGGTGAGGACGTGGTGGGAGGGATGCCCTCGCTTCCCGCTTCCTCTTGTTCCATCGTCTCGCAGGCTCTTTGTTGTCATGTTCGCGAGCACGTCCAAGGCATTGTGACCGCGCGTGCTGACGACACGCTGTAGCAACGTATTTTCGGGCCTCCAATATTCACAGGTGACAAAAGCCCTTTGTGTACAGCTACATGTTACATGTTACAGGACGAGCGTTGTACGTGATGTGCGTTCAACGTGACGAAACCCCACGAACTTGACACATCGAGACGCAAAAAGCGGAATGTTATCTGTCGTTGCATGTACCTTCCTACCTACATGAGGACGCGAGATGCGCCAGTGTCTCATGGATGTGCTGCATTACTTGTGTTGAAGCTGATCATACTCGCAACTCGTAGTGTCGGGAAGTCTATGCAATCAAAGGCATTGTGCGCCCTTTCTTGTCTGCTGTCTGTTCGCTGCAATCGACACAGGTAAGTCGGGCAACCACATAGATCGGTGTAGACTGTATAGACTGCATACGGTTTCTCATTGCAAGCAGATGCGTCGCGCGCTGACGTAATGTCATAGAAAAGGTGCCGGTCACGATAAGTCGTAGATACTTTGCAGATCTGCACTGCTGGGCTCTCTGACGTTGTCGTAGAAAACATCGACGAGAGCACATTGCTAGATCATCAATTCTTGTACCACAACGCTGGGCGTTGAAGGTACATCGACAGCTGACGCAGTGCTTGACAAGTTACGCAAGTCATGATAGCTGGCTGCTGAGTGACACCTCCGAACCTGTCTGTCTGGTCATGGGCCGACGCAATTCCCTGAACATGTAAGATGACTATTCCCTCCAAGTTGTGGTCATACCACCAACTGCTTACAAGCCCATGTTGGGACCTCATAAACACCAAAGTGAATGTCAACGAACATTCGGTCGCTGTCAAGCTGGCTGGTATTGTAAAAGAGATAGACAGATCAACCACTGCACTGTACAGGAAGAAACAAACAAACAAACAAACGCAATAGCAAAACCTCGTGCTCTTTAGTGCAAGGTCCGATGAGAGCCAGAGCTCTTACTTAGGCAGCAGTTCCCGGTAGTCCCTTCGCAGCAGCAGTCTCTGCTTCAGCCTCTTGCTGCTCTATCGCATCTTTTTGCTTCGGCGGGATGCGAATCACACGCTTGCCGCACAGCGAGTAGTGGTAGCCCGGCTCCATGCGGTCCGTTGTATTCGTGCGTACCATGAGCAGCATAGCAAACCCAATGCAGACGATGACAAAGATCACTTGGATGTTGTCGATATAGGCCTCGCCCACGCTCATGCCACCATCAATCTTGTTGTTGTACGAGTGGTTGAACGAGAGGCCACCCGCAACGCCACCAACAGCCATCGCTGTCAAAATCACTCCGTGCATTGGACCAATGTTGTAGGCACCAAACATCTCAGTCACGAAAGCTGGGATCGTGCCAAAGCCGCCACCGTAGCTGCATGTCAGCACGAAGACCTCAACCACAAAGACCGTGTAGCTATCCTGACGAATGACCCAAGGGAGCGAACCAAGCACGACAATCTGCGCACCAAGCGTGAAGTAGTACACCATCTTGCGGGCAAACGCCTTTTCCACGTTGAAAACGCGCACGAAGCAATCCGACAAGGCCGGAAACACAAGACGTCCACAGCAATTGAACGCGCTGTTGATGGACACGATGTCGGACGCACTGCCGGCGCTTTTGCCAAAGATGTCCGTGCACATGCTCGAGAGTCGGGCCAAGACGATCACGCCGAAGAGCTGGTTGGCAAAGAACATGAGGTACATGAAGATAAAGTCGGGGGTCAAGATCGCCTGCTTGAACGGCAGCTGCTTGACCGGCAGCGTCTTGACCGTCTCGAAATCGTGCTCGGCGCGGCCACTAGCTTTGGGGGTCTCAACGGACGTGTAGACGTCATCGAGCTTGTTGTCCGACACGCCGCTCTCCTCGTCGACGTGATTTCCGTGAATGTCAAGCCCATTAACCGTAAAGTCCGGCGGTGGCACGCGGAGGGCAAAAGCTGCGGCAAACATGGCAACGCTCATGATCGAGCCGAGCACGACAAACATCCAGGGGAGACCAACAGCATCGATGGTGGGCAGGTACACCTTGCTCCACACTACAGAGCCTGCGCCATACCCGGCAACAGCAAACCCCGCAGCTGTACCACGATAGTCTGGGAACCACTTCTGCAAGGTCGCAACAGGTGAGATGTAGCACATGCCCATCCCAATTGCAGTGATGACGCCGTAGCCAATGTAGATGCACGCAATGGACGCGTAGTGGCAGCCAATAGCTGTTACGACGTGGCCAGCCATGAACAATGCTGTACCAACGAGAACGCCCCATCTCGGTCCCTTGCGCTCGATCGTCGGGCCCAGCGTGGACGTCGCTGCACCGAAGACCCCAACCGCAATGTAGAACGTGTTGACCGCGCGACCTTTTCGAGCATTGTCGTAGACTGCTAAATCGATCGGATGGTTGAGCACCGACCACGAGTAGATGCAGCCAATGCAGAATTGCACGACGAACGCTGCGAGAAACAAGTACCAGCGCGAAAACGTGAGTAGAAACATGCTTTAGTAGCCGACACTTGTGCGCAAGAGATCGCAAGTGGAAAACTGATTGCCATTGACAACGACGGCTCGGGACACACTGCAGGAGCTCAGGAGCTCCTTTGGTCGGGTCCCAATATCTGCACATATGTATGGACGTATCCACTTCGTCCACTCGTGACCGTCGTAGCGAGGTCTCGTGTAGAAAAGCCGGTCGACGCCTGTCTGCTGCGTATATGCTGCAAAAGCAGAAGCGACTTGCTTTTGCGAGCGCACGATGCGATGTTATGCCCGCACGTCGTCGGTGTGTACTGTGCACGTATGACGCTGCTCAATCAAACGCGACGACGGAATAATATGCGCTCACTGGAGCTAGCACAAACGCATATCGTACCTGCTGAATTCCTTTGACGACAATATCTAGAGGTTACTCGAGCTCATATCGAATATGTTGTGTGAATCCGGCAAAAATATTGAGAGGTTACACGAGCTCCTATCATATTTGTGGGATACGCTACCTCGCAAATGCAATACACACGATGGTGGGCACTCGCGATAGCTGCGCTTTGTAGCATTCTTGAATGGCTCATGTTGCATCCATACCTAGATTCACACTCTGCAATAACACTGATGCTTCGGCCACGAGCAACTGTAGCAGGACCACGATACACACAAATTCGTCAAGCCCGAAGTGCTTCTACCCATGTTTCCAATGACCGAGGCTCGAGTAAGTACCAAGAGACTGAGACCTAGGTTCTGGCTCCACTCATGCGAGATGCTCTACGAAGCAAGTAGTGTCGCTAGCTATCTTTCGTAAAATTTTCGCAGAACGAGTGGACGTGTCTTACACATTGGTGACGTGTTGTCCTGAGTGTTGGCGAGGCCCTCGCAAGGACCTTATCTCATGTGAACGATCTTGCACAAGTTCACCACACCAACATGGCTTCTGTATGTCGTTTGACTCAAGCGTTTGGCATTCGGCGATAACTTTCGCGCAAAGTTCCGATGTTACGTTGCCGACCTCACGTAGAATACATGCTGACGACAAGAAACCAGTCGGACGTTATCGCCGTATCGCGTAGCCATCTAGTAGATCGAGCCTACCAGTAGTGGCTCTTAGACAAAGCTGCCGCTGGACCACTCGCACAGAACAAGAACAATGTGCGTTTGTTAGCGATGGCGACGCACTCTGCATGACCGCGCACATGTTTATCCCTCGATTGCCACATGCGCGTCTTAGAGCACTTGATATGCTCAAATTATTACAATTATCATGGTATTATCACTCTTTGAGAATGCAAATCCTGCAACACATATGTGCGTCAGCTGTCGGCTTGCAATTGGACTCGTCGTTTGATGGTGTAGCGGAGCTACACAGCTCCTTAAGTCAGAGGAAGACTTAACGCTCTTACGAGCAACTTTGGTACAACGAACCCGACTCAGAGAGTCAACATCTCAGAGAGCTAAGGTTTTGGTTCAGAGAACCCGACTCAGAGAGTCAACAAGCTCAGAGAGCTCACGTTCCCGTTCCTAAGGGACCAAACGATTCAAAAGAATCACAGCACAGAGTACTCTGGAGCAGCTACCTTCACAGGTATTGCTAGCTCCTATCGATCAAAGACGCCTCGTAAGGCACGTGTCTTTCAGTGATCAAAAGGGGAACTGAATTTGTATTTCTTTATTAAACCTAAAAGAACACCTTAGAACAACGTATTTAACCTGCCCTAAATAACCTCTTATAGATCTCGTAATCAATTGATGACAGACATCAGTCTTCAACAATTGATACACTCACTGTGTTCGAAAATTACTTTATAGGGTACCCCTCTCTTGTGTGCACCACACCTATCGTCAACTACCAGCCGACGTGTAACCCCGTTACACCCTCCCTCACCAGACTGACGTTACCACAAAACGTCAAGCGGCTTCTTTACTCGAAGAGGTTGGTGTGCGTGTGCTTAACCTTACGGTTGCTAAACACGAAACACCATGTCATTGCCACCCAACGAGTCTCGGACTCTTTCCTCTTACCTCGGCTTCGATGAGGATGTGGACTATGGTAGTGACACCAGTGTCCATGGAGATGACGGGATATCGTCCCACTCCGCTGTACCTGAGGCTCACCTCTAACAGCTCCGAATCCGTTCGTTGAACGTGGTGATACCACCGCGCCAGTGGCGCAGCATCATACAACAGATGAAGGTGAGAACATCATCACGAACCCGCTCGACGAGCAACCGGAGCTAATTCGTCAGCGTGGGGAGAAAGCTCGACGCCGAGCGCATACCCAGGCGGTTGTTCAGAACCGGAGTGGTTACTTGTTTGCAACAACTGACGTGGAGCAACGTCTCCGTCAAGCGGAAGGCCGTAGCCTCGCAACATGGGCAATTGCACCAGAGGCTACGTCGTCGGAAGACATTGCATTCCGTAAGGTTCTACATGAGAGGTATCTCGAACCATTCTTTACCACGCAAGGTCAGTACCTTGCATACCTTGAGAGTATCTCTCATGGTGTGTCGGTTCGACCGATAAAGGGCGTGCCCATCTCGTTGTTCGCTGGCGAGCTGCCCGAGGAGGAGGACAATCCATTCATCCGTTGGGTGTACCGCAAGCGGCACCTTAGTAGTGTGCCAGCGCTGCGGGCCAGAGCCGATGTGGCTGACGATCGTTTAGAACGAAAGCTCCGGTTCGAGTATGCCAAGCTCAAGGCCAGAGGTCAGTTGAGTACACGTACGCGTTATGGTCCGGCTATTATGGTAGCCACGGGTCACGACCCTATGGTGCGGAGCAACACGTTACCTCCCACCACTATTGGTGAGAAGCGTTCTCGTTCGCAAGGCGACCCTGGCCACAATGTTCAAAAACATCCACGGCGTAAGGGCAGTCCTGCCGAAGGGGTATCTCATACTCCCACGAGTTCTCCGACTCCGGGTACCCTCGCCACTTCACCAGATACTAGTATTGGCCACGACGACGACGTCGCTGAAGGAGTCTCTCCACATGGAACAGGTGGTTCCCTTGCTCATCGAGCGGCGTCGGTGGTGGTCGGGGTACCGAAGGAGGAGCATGAGAAGGTGCTCCGTGAGCCGAGTGGTCTCCAAGAGACATTGGGTAAGACCCAGAGTGCGCTCGACGCGATGCAAGACCGTGTTCAAGCATTGGAGCTGGCCTCAGCCCGTGTGGATGGTCAGCTTGACCTCCTGGTTCGGATGCAACAGCCGACGGCAAGGCCCTATTACCCGGCGCAAGTGCCTCCGAGTTCACATGGGACGGGTCCCGATACGGCTTAAGTAATCCAACGTAGAACACTGGGTGCGTGCGCAGTTTGCGCGGGAGGTTGAGTGTATACGCCAATCCCTTCTTAGCAATGACCGTGAATGGCCCAATGAAGCGCGGACGCAACTTTGTCTTAAAGACGGCAGACACTACATTTGTAGGTAGGTTTTTAGCATTGAGTAGAACTTGGTCTCCGACCTCATAACGTTCAATACATCCTCTTCCTTTAACATCAGCTTGTTCCTTCTGCTTGTCTTAGCTATCAGCCAGTGCATCACGTACGTGTCGTACCACATTCAAGCGCGTTGAGAGAAACCCGTTTACATGTTTATGAACAGTAGCAGGGCTGATACCAGCAAGCCTATCGGCCATCTCTTCCCCACCAAGCCCTGAACCACGCAGTGGTAGCGTCAACGGAACGCGAGGGTGTGTGAGACCGTTCACGTAGAACGGAGTAAAGCCTGTAGAGGCGTGAACAGCGTTATTTAACGCGAACTCAACAACAGGAAGCATCGAACTCCAACGTTTTGGTGTATTAGCGCAAACACTGCGTAATATGTCACCGATAACGCGGTTGAATCGCTCGGTTTGACCATCGGTCTGCGGATGATCCGCCGTGGACATGTCCAGACGTGTGCCGAGCACCTTGAAGATGGACTTCCAAAACTTCCCAGTGAAGCGAGGGTCTCGGTCAAGGACAATTGCCACAGGCAAGCCGTGTTGTCGAAACACTCGATCGATAAACAGCGTAGCTGTACCTTCACCATCAATGGTATCTGGCACAGCCTCCAAGTGAGCCATCTTGCTCAAACGGTCAACAAAGACCACAATACCCGTATTGCCTTGCACATCTTTCGGCAGACCGAACATGAAATCCATGCTGATGGACTCCCAGCACCCAGAGGGTATAGGAATACTAGCGAGCGGCACAGCCGCATGATCAGAGGGTTTCACCCGTTGACACGTTTTGCACGTACGCACGTATGTGCTTACCCATTTTTAAAGTTTGGGCTACCAATAATATTGGATCACAGAGCTATATTTCTTCTCTCGACCGAGGTGGCCGCTCACCGCAGTATCATGCGCCTCATAGAGGATGCGATACTTCACTTTATCATCATGAGGGACAACGATACGGGTAGTATCCTCTATATCTGTGCTATAGCACAACAGGCATTGATCGATGGAATATCGATGTAGCCTCGCACGTAAACGTGCCGACAATTCAATGTCTGAGTTGTTAAACTCCTCGCTTCCCGGAGCACGTAGCAAAGCCACACAATGTTCATCTTTGGCATATGCCGAACGAATGAGGTCTGTGACCGATGATGACAGAGTCGTAACATGAGCAAGCTCATAGTCAGGTCTACGTGACAACGCATCAGCCAAAGCATTCTGTTTTCTCGGCTTATACTCCACCTCGAAGTTGTATTCCGCAAAGAATGAGAGCCAACGATCCATTCGCTGAGAGAGATGTGGCGACTGGGTCGCAGTGCGTAATGACGCATGATCTGTATAGATCACAAAAGGCTTAGAGCCAAGCAGATGAACTCTGAATTTGACTAAAGCATAATTCATTGCAAGTAGCTGTTTGTCATGAACTGGATAGTTCTTTTCAGATGCTTTCAGCTGCCGGGACTCAAGCGAAATGACGCGTTCCCGTCCATCATTATCTGTTTGTAACAGGGCACTGCCGATGGCAAAGTCAGATGCGTCACAGACGACACTGAAAGGCCGATCAGGGT